GAATTGAATAGAGTGAGGGCCTTGCTCTGGATTAGGCTTTGGCTTAATGGAATGTTGTGGCTGCTTTGATCTTCTCTCCAGACCACTGCAACTTTCTCTGTATCAGCAATAAGGGTACTTTGCTTTCTTATCATGTGCGTGTTCACTGGGGTAGCACCTTTAATTTCCTCCTTTGCATTCACAACTTGGCCAACTAGAGCACGAGGCCTTGGCTTTTGACATGCCTTCCTCACTAAGATCGATCATTTCTACCTTTTGATTTAAAGTGAGAAACGTACGACTCTTCCTTCATTCGAACACTTAGAGGTCATTGCAGGATTATTGATTGGCCTAATTTCACTATTGTATTGTCTCCGAGAATAGGGAGGCCCAAGGAGAGGGAGAGATGGTGGAACAGCAGGTCGGTGGAGCAGCAGGACACACACAGCATTTACCGGTTAGGTTTACTGTCTTATATGGGCACAGTTCATGGTGCCCCAAAACAATTACAGTAGTTACATCAAAGATCCCTTATCACGGATCACCATAACAAATGTAATGATAATGAAAAAGTTTAACATATTGTGAAAATTACCACAATGTGACATAGAGACACAAAGTGAGCAAATGCTAGTGGAAAATAGTACTGACAGACTTCTTGATGCAGGGTAACTTAAATCTTCAGTTGGTTCAAACAACAACATCTGCAAAGCACAGCGAAACAAAACATGTCTGTACCTCACTGACGAAACCAGAATCAGTCTGGAACCCTAGCTGCAAGGGAGTCACAGAAATTTATTTTTGAGCCTTCTAGACTCTTCAGAAAATGAAGGCTCACTAGCAGAAGGTTGAAATAGATGCTGATGGAATCTTGGTATAATATCTACTAAAGAGACACACCGGTGAGTGTTTCCCTGGTGCGGCTAGGAAAGATGAGAGATCAACTAGCTTATGAAAACTTGGGGAGGGTGGTGCGTTCTAAGGAGGAAAAATGGTTAAAGAGGACTGGAGGTTCTGAGAAAGAGTATTAATTAACCTAAAAAACAAGTGGGAAAACTTTAGGCCTCCTCCCTTACCCTTCCCCACAAAAATACAAATGGCAATTTCAGGAAACTCAAATATTCGTTTAGAGCATTCTTGCAGCAGGTTGAGATGCTACCCTGTCTAATCCTCTACACGCTCGCAGAAGTTGTGGCCCTTATTTAGCCAGGAGTTGTGGACGATCCCTCCTCTTGTGTGAGAAGGCCTGACAGTGACGTGAATGTGGAATCAAGCATGAAAGACACAACATAACGTAACAGCTAAGGTGTACCCACCCATTTCCCTTAACTGAGGAGAGGGTCCCAGACAGGAGATGGAGCCCTGTACAGGGAAGTCACTGGGAAGATTCAGATGCCACCTACAGGGTGGTTACTTCGTTCCACAGTGAGAAGGCAATAAGAGATGCTGGAGTCCTCTGGCCAGAGAGATAAATAGAATGTGAATTCAGAATATTAAACCTCGGAGACACTTTAACCCAACCCCCTCATTTTACATGAGAAAACAGAGAGGTTGAATGTCTTGTTGAGGGTGAATAAAGTCAGTGGAACACTGGGACTAGAACCCTTAATAGCAAACATACCTTTTTTTAAAGATTTTATTCATTTATTCGATAGAGCGGCAGGGAGAGGCTAAAGGGGAGAGAGACGGGCAAGCAGACACCTCACTGAGTGCAGAGCCCAATGTGGGGCTCGATCTCATGACCTTGAGATCATGACCTAAGCCAAAGTCAAGAGTTGCCCCCTTAAATGACTGAGCCACTCAGGTGTCCCACAAATATACATTTTACCGTGTGTTTCACTTTGCTTTAAAATTGTTCTTTTGGGGTGCCTGGGTGGCTCAGTGGGTTAAAGCCTCTGCCTTCGGCTCAGGTCATGATCCCAGAGTCCTGGGATCGAGCCCCACATCGGGCTCTCTGTTCAGTGGGGAGCCTGCTTCCTCCTCTGTCTCTGCCTGCTTCTCTGTCTACTTGTGATCTCCGTCTGTCAAATAAATAAAATCTTTTAAAAAATAAATAAATAAATAAAATTGTTCTTTTATGATCACTGTCTAATGCTGAACTGTAAATGTGGTAGTTAATCTAGCTAATTGTGATCACTTTAATATTTAGCTCCTTATCAGATGGCATTCAGAACAACTGTTTCTGAGTTAAGAACAATAAGAAATTAAAATATTTTTAAAACTCTGAATACTGCTTCCTTTAGCCTAGTCCAGTCTTACTCCCAAAGATAGGCTTAGTTTCACCCTTAATGAATTTCACTTCCGGAGTCGGTTGTGTTTTAAGAAATATTGCAAAAATGGTGTAAAGGGGTCGAAGTATTAGAAATAAAGGGTCATTAAGAGGTGACTTAAATGAAGAATTTCCTCTTGCTTTATGAAACGGTAAGAATTACAGGCAATAAGTTTTATTTAAAATCACCTTTATCCCAAGCCATTTCAAGACACACAGAAAGTTGAATTGCCCCTCAGTGGTCAAAGAGGCAGTTTACAAGGGCTGTAAGTGACCTCCAACGTGCTCACGGCTGGCTAGCAATCAGTTCTGAGAATGCTGAACCTCTGTATCACTGAGCACAAGGTTCCCAAGGAAAACATTTGCGCGTCCCCACCAGGGTCTGCTCAGAGAGGCTGAGTCGTGGTGTGGGGTGACTGAACACGCCCCAAGACTGAACACGGTTGGGAATTCGAGGGTCAAGGAGAGAGGCGCAAGCTGAGTTGGCTGTCTTTATCCCATAGCATCTAGAATATTCTTTGTGGAAGGAATGAAAGACAACTTCTATAAGAATAACGATGCCCTAAGGAAAAAGAAAAAAACATCTGTTCTCTTGTGGAGCGCAGCCTGTTTTGGGAAGCAGCTGCAATCTGCTTTGAGTTACAAGGTGGGCTCATTCCCACCTCCGCACTGCCGGCTTGCCCAGCAGTTGAGGGCTCTCACCTCTGAGGCTGCTGTAAACAATGGAGCCCTTTATCTCAACATGTTAAATCCTCCTCATTTCCCCATTTCAGCCCACGCAGTAGGCCTGTGGAACGGTCTCAAGAGAATGCATATTTTCTTGTGAATGTTGGGCTTGGGAAAAGAGTCTTAGTCTGGACTATGAAGAGGGTGACATTAAAGTTTAAACGTGTCCGATATATGTAAGTACCATGTGAAGGGCAGGAGAGCAGGAGAATGGGCAAGTGCCCTGAGATTGGTACGGGAAAGCTGTGCATTGCTCAGTAAAATTTTATTACTTTGGCCTTTTTGCTTCGGAAACAATGGAAGAAAAGCTGAGTAGTGATATCCTAGACACTCCTAGGAAAACAGGGGTTTGGAGGGAGTCAAGGAAAAGACATTAAAAGGAAGGAGCCGGGTTCAGATTTCCTAGTTTGTCTTCCCTCTGCCTGGCACCAAATTAAAGCCTCTTTTCATCAGGTGAATCGCAGCCCAATCTGGCTAAAGCAGTTAAAGCGCTGGCAGGAAAAATGGTCAAGAGGGTTGGGGGGGTGGGGGTTCCTGCAAGTTCTAATGCTCACCGGGCCGGCAGGAAATCAAAGAGAGAAGCCTGACACCTCTGGGCTATCCAAGAGAGGCAGGCACCTTGGCCTTGGCCGGTGTTGCTTCATGAGAATTGGGGCTCAGAGTGGCCTGACTTCTCAGAAGCCAGAAATCCATTTTTTGTTGTCATTGTTGAAATCTCCCAGTTTTAAAATAGTATAACAGATTGGAATGCACTCACCAGGTCTGCTAGTTTTCCAACTCAGGTTCATGAGCTTCACCCTCCTTCATGGTTTTGGGACCTTCAAACTGGAACTTATGACTCATGTTAAGTGAAGGGAATAAGATTTTCCCCTCTTGCGCATTTAATGAATCTTCATGTTAGCAGTTATCAAAGCTGTATCCGTCAGTATTCTTGATGGGTGGATACAGGGATGTGTAAGATACAGTCCTGCCTATAGGTCCCAGGAGACTTAGGAGACAGATAAACAGGAAATTACCTGACAATGAACTTCCTGTAATTAAACAGATACTCCCAAAGTGGGGTCTGCACTGAAGGGCAATTAACCTTTCTTTGGATGCAAGCTGTGCCCTAAAGGAGTCCATCAGTTCAGTTGAAGGGAGTAGGTGTTTTGTAGAAGCCAGAGGTACAAATGAACAGTGATGAAAAGAGGTATATTTGAAGAAATTGCAAGTGTTTACTACAATTAAGTGATTATCAATTCAAAACCAAGGGTATTAATTAAAAAAGAGATTCTCCTCCAGAAAATAAAAACTGGCTTCTCAAGACCCATCCCAGATTTACTGAATCAGAATCACTGAGTTTGTTTTTTTTTTAATGGGCACCCTGGGTGAGTCTTATGATCAGGCTTGAGTGAAGTGGCTTCTGTTCATCTCCACAGTAGAGATTGTGTCAAATCTGAAAGTAGGATAGTCTGCCTGGATTAACCAGCTGAGCCACTCTGGGTAAGGCTAGCCTCCTTATGCTTAAGCTTCTGTACCTGAAAAATAGAGCTAGAGTCTCTGCTGAGTAAGATTGTCTAGCCAGTTAATCAGAAAATACTTAGAACATTATCACTGTCTTGCTCCCTACCTGATCCCCAGCTCGTAGTACTAGGTTAAGGCCAGAATAATTCCTCATAACTATCTGTTGAATGGCTGAGACTGGGGAGGTATGAAGGGGTCAGATCCTTGGAGTCCTTAGTTCTGCTTACTGTTCTAGGTACAACCTCCAGGCAGCCACCCTCTCTCCTCCACATAACCTACCTGGAACCATATTTGTTACCCCCCAAGCGACTCATTCTAAAACAAAACAAAACAAAAAACAGAAGTAGCTCTTTTATCCAAAGATTTCTAGGGTATACTTTAAAAAGAAAAAGTAAAAAAAAAAAAAAGGTTATTTCTTAAAAACCTATGCTATTTCCCTGTAGTAAAGTGAGAAAACTTTGTGAATCACCACTGCTTTAAAAAATTAACAGTTCTACTTCATTTTGTTCTTCTCTTACCTAAGGCCGCTGTGGTACCATCTGCTCAGACACTTAGAATTACTGACTTCAGCTTCAGTGACTTTGAGCTATCTGACCTAGAAACGGCACTGTGCACAATTCGGATGTTCACTGACCTCAACCTTGTGCAGAACTTCCAGATGAAACATGAGGTAGGAATACAGTCGTGTCCTTTGGAGGAGAGAGAGTGTGTGTGTGTGTGTGTGCGCGCGCGCACGCGTGTGCACGTGTGCATGTGTGTGTGTATGTGTGTGTGTGAGAGAGAGAGAGAATTAATCAATACACTGTCACCTAATGCCTACCGAGATTTTTAAAGAAAACGACATTTACTGGGTTCTTACTATTTGTCAAGCACCAAGTTGAAGAACAGGGAGAGCACTCCCAGCAGTGGGAGCAGGGTGTGCAAAGGCAGGAGGAGTGAGTGGGGCTGGGTCTGGGGCTCGGGGTAGGAAAGTAAGAAGCAAATCGTATATATCCCTGTGAGCTAGTCAGAGGAATGTGGATTTTATCCTGAAAACAATGGTGAGTCATTGAGGAGTTGTAAACAGGGAAGTAACCTGATCTGATCCAGAGGTTGTGATAACACGGTATGGTTCAGAGAAGGACCAAAACACAGTGAACTCCTTTGGAAATGAGGGACTCCAGGCACTTGATGTGAGGCCAAGCCTGTGGTTTGAACAGGGGTAACCCATGTTAGGAGGGGGATGAAAACTGATTTTAACCCCTGCCGATTACTTTAGTCACCTCTCAGAAAACAACAGGACTTCAATCAGTATCTTCTAATACCCATCTGGAGATACCAGGGGATAGCTATGTGTATAGCATCGAAGAATAAGGGAGAAGAGAAAGGATTGTTTGGGGAAGAAAATGTAGTAATTTGGCTTGAAAATTAATTTTTTTTCTGGTCCGTCGGATTTCTAGTCTTATACAGATTTCCTGTCTGGAAATGTAAATACCTTGAAGGTCTCGACTATTTTGCAATCCACAGATTCATAAAATGAAGCTTTATTAATGTATACAGTGTACCCAGCACCGTGCTAAGTCTTCATTTCAGCAAAGAATTGTCCCTGCTCTCAAAAGCCTCACAGCTGGGAATGAAAAGGAAGGCCTCATGCAGCTAGGTGAACACAGAGCCATGGATGGAATTCTTGTGGTATTCTTTCTTAAATGTAGCCAAAGTTGGCATGACTCTTGGGTGAAAACAAAGAATGACCATCTCTGGACTCATAATACCTCACTCTTCATGTTGATGGAGGGACATCATATTATGTGATTATTTCAGGAAGCTCTCAAGAACACTTCTCAGTGGTTATTGCCCCTGTTTGAAATTCAGATAACATGAGAAGAGTAGAAAGATGGTGGATTGTGAGTTCTAGCTCTACTGGTCATTCACTTTTATTTCTTTAAGCAATTACTCTCTCACGGTCTCCGTTTCACAGTCTGTTAATTGGGATAATGGTGTGACTTCCCCGGTGGCAGTCTTGTGAGAATGACACGTGCACCCACAATGTGACTGTATGAGGTGTACACACGTGTGTTCCTGTCTCCCGTGATGTTTTTGCTTCTTATTGTATCACCCCATAGATGTCTCTACAGGAGGCTATAGGGTTCCTTTTTAAAAGCCTTTTCTATTAATGGACTAAAGACCTCACTTAGAGCCAGTTCTAAATGTGAAACTCAGTTCTGCTTCTTGCTAGTTACATGACCTTAAAAAGCAAGACAGCATTTCAAATCCCTTTCCGTTCTGAGATTTCCCATACGTTAAACTGGCAGTGATCTGTTGAAAGCGCCCAGCCAGAACAAAGCAATCTGATGCTTATACTTATTTATGAAGTTTTTAGAAGTTGATTTCTTATTTCTTAAAAACCTGCAAGTTTTCAGATCACGTGTGAGTGTTAGATATGACGATAGTCAATCAGAATTCTTTTTTTTTTTAACGATTTATTTATTTGAGAGAGAGTGCGTGCAAGCGGGGAGAGAGAGAGGAGAGGAAGAAGCAGATTCCCCGCTGAGCAGGGAGCCCTGAGCCCAAGGCAGACGCTTAACTGACTCCCAGGTGCCCCAGTCACTCAGAATTCTTTAGCAATCTTTATTCTTACCTTTTCTTGAATTTTTTTCATTAGACAGGTATTTTTCTTCAATGTCTCATTCATTTACTCTCCCTTTTTTTTTTTTTTTTTTTTTGAGTAACTGCTATCTGATTCTGGCCAACATCAACTTGAATACCACAATCATTCTGATTGGCCTTCCTGCCCTAGTTACTCTCCTGTCATGTTTATTTGAGATAATACTCAGTGTAATTTAAGGGTGATAAAATTAAAATGTTATTGCTGGAGAGGATGTTGGCATCATGAAGCTGCCCTGACAAAGAATCTTTCCTACTGAAAGATCTGTCAAATCTTCATGTCCCTTCTTGTCTTCCAAATCTTGAGTTACTCTCCTACAAACATGGCAGCCATTGCTCCAGCTGACCTCTGAAACAGACTCTTGACTACTTGAACAAATCTGCATGTGCTATGCTTATTTCCACCTTCCGTCTTTCACATCATTCCTCTCTGATGTGGATGGGCTGCCTGATGTGATGTGATGTGAATGGACAGTCTGAATGGACCGCCCCACTTGCAAGGCTTCTCCACTTCTTGCCACAACACGCTTTTCTCTTCCTCAGAGCCTGACTCAACCCTAGTTTTGACTTCATACCACTTAGAATACTGTGGACAGTTTGTGGTCTCAATTTTATTTACTCCTTTTATATGTGCGCTTTTATCATTTTCACTCCTGATTGAGATTCTTGAGGACAGAAACTGAGCTGTTTTCTGGTTCTTCTCTTTCTCCCAGAGCATCTCGAGTCTGCCCCTCAGGACATAGGAAGCCTTTGTCCTTGTGGGAGATTGATCAGTGTGTTGAGCATGCTCCCTAGCGGCACCCACCTCGCGCCTAATTATTCAGTAATCCCGTACAGAAGACTGTATTGTGGATTTGAACATGCCAGACATATCAACCAAGCACTGAGGAGATCTGACTGTAATTTTCCTAAATGCTATTAACATCCTGATAGACCTATAAATACACAGAACAAACTGGTCGTTACCAGAGAGGAGGAGGTTGCGGGGGTGGGGGGGTGGTCAAGATGGGTGAAGCAGAGTAGGAGATACATGAGTAGGTCACAGGAGTAAAGCGGCACAGCATTGGGAACATAATGATATTGTAATAAGGTTGTATGGTGACAGATGGTAGTTACACGTGTGGTGAGCATAGCACGACATATAGAGAAGTTGAACCGCTACTTTGTGCACCTGAAACTAATGTAACATTGTGTGTCAACTGTACTCAAAAAACCCATGTTTTTAAAAGATTATCCTGATAATAGAATCCAAAACTGTACTTAAATTTAGTTCCTAACCACTGTATCCATTGGATCACCTAGTCCTCTTAGGCCCATGTTATTAGAAGCATAATAGAATAGTCCATCAGGAATTAGTATTTCAAAGAGTCATTTTGGTCATTATTTAACATTATATGATATATGTGCCCATTTAATTATATCTACAGATTTATGATTAGTAAAGAGATATTCATAGGTTAAATTTCTGGGTCTTCTTGCTTACTTTCCTTGATTCTTTAATTCATCACCAGCAATTTTCTATAACACTTTATAGTTTCAAAGCACATCAAAGCAAGTTCAGAGCCCTTACTTAAATTCTGCCAATAAGAGGGAACTATCATCTTTCTAGCCGGTTTTGTTCAGAAATGGTCATGATGAAAGAAACTGCAGTGGACTTGGGATTAACGGACGCCAGTCTTAGGCACACAGAAATCCTCTGCTGAGTAAGGTGACTTGGAGCTGCAAGAGCTAGGGGACATTCGAGTTGCTTGTTACCAGAATTCCCTGTGAACTGTGTTATAGAACAGGAACAAAAAGACCGAAAAAGAAAAAGAGGGTTATGAAAGCACTCATGTTCCACCAAATCCTGTATAAGCAATTTCTACCAACAAAGAAGGAACCTTGTTTTTAGCCTACTTCTGCAGCCAGTCATTCTGTGTTGCATATTGTTAGAGCAACGTTCTTTTGCCTGGTACTTTTTCCATACCCCAGGGCAATGCTCTTTGTGTTTGAAGTATCTCCAGTGATATATACGTAGGAAGAAGCACATATTTATTTTTACAGATCCCCCAAAGTATAGTAAATCATTCAGAATTGAAGAGAGACAGACTCTGATGCTAACACAAACAAAAAATAACCATGCTTAGGGCCCAAGAGTCTCTGGGGATTTTGTTGAATACACTACTCAGAAGTTGAATTAAACCCAGCTTTTGAGATTTTTCTGAAGTCTGTCCTTTTTTTTTTTTCCATCTTTTAAAATAAATCTTTTTCACGGGAACCCCAGGGCTTTATTTTGCATATATATTTTTAAAAATTACTTCTTGGTAACCAAGCAGTAACTCTGCCTGAATACTTAAACATAGTTTAAAAGGGACAAAAGACCTGCTGATTGTCTCAGGACTTGGGAGCTCCATTCTGTGCTTGGCCATGTGCTTTGTATCTCAGCCCCCAATCCATCTGCACAGCCTTGTACGCATTACCTTTAAAGAACTAAAAACCAGGAGCGTGAGAAGAACTTGAGAGCCACTATTTCCATGACTCTCTAAAAGTGAATCCATACATAGTTATCTATTTGGATTCTCCTGATGGCACATGAACACGATATCTTTTAAAAATCTAGTCAGTGCCCTCCCTACCTATGCAAAAAATACCTTCCTTAGGGCTCTCTTACATTTTACATCTTGTTTAGTTAGTGTGGTGGTCAGCATGGTGGGCTCTGAAGTCAGACTATTCAAGTTTGAATTTTAGCCCCTCCCTTTACAAGCATCGTGACCTTGGGCGAGTTACCACTCAGAATGTCAATTTCCTCATCTGTGAAATTATCTGAGTAGTAGTGCCTCCCCCAGAGTCCTGAGGGTTAGCGGTGAAGGCTTTGTACAGTGCCTGGAACATAGTAAACATGTGATATTAGCAAGTATTTTTACTACTTATGCTTTGTTTCCTAAAGGTTCTTTGCAGGTGGATTTTAAGTGTTAAGAAGAATTATCGGAAGAATGTTGCCTATCATAATTGGAGACACGCCTTTAATACAGCTCAGTGCATGTTTGCTGCTCTAAAAGCAGGCAAGATTCAGGTACTTTTTAGAGCCGTTCTTATATTTAAGACTTCTTGCTTTGGTAGTAAAATCTACAGCATATTCTTTCTTTTTTTAGTGTGCAGTCAGTAACGATGAGTGGAATAATATTTGTTGCCACTTACAAAATAAATGACATCTTGTCAGTTGAAGAAGACTAGCATGGCAAAATACTTAGTTATTAATTTTCTTCCATATGCAGTATATATATGGCCTATTTTTAAAAATCTTTAAAATAACTTCATGTTAAGTTTAATAGTCTTTGGGCAAATAGTTTCTCCAGAAGATTTTCTTCAGTATAAGAAGAAAGTATCAAATTTCTTGTGTTCCCATTCAACCTGCTCCATAGTAGAATTCCTCCAAAACCACTCAAGTGGCTTCATAGCTAATTCCAGCGCTCTCTATCACATTTTCTCTGGAGCACTCAGTTAGATTTTGTTAAGTCGCATCTCACGGAAAGGGTTTTAATATCATCTACATTGACCAGTGACTGTGTACAAGGAAGATCAACGCAGAAAGCGTTCAAATAATTCGTTCCTTTCCAGGCCGTATTTTATCCATAGCTCTGTCTTAGGTGTTAACTTCAGTGGGAATTGACTAGTTCTTCTAGGTAAGTGATTCCAGGCATCCATCAAATAACTGTTTTTCATTCAGAGCTTCCATGCTTTTTTTTTTTTTAAGTAAATTCTAAAAATGTTATTCTCTGTCTCTCTTTCCATAGGGAGCACATTTTAACTGGCTAGAGAGAGCTAAAAGAAGGAATTGTTGTCTAAGAGGCCATATAAAATACCATAGTAGTATTTCCCTGCCATAGCAAACATTTATAAAAAAAATAGGATCAACTTATTTTGGGCTGTGGAAAGGTCATCAGGATTATACAGCTGAAGACTGTCCATGCTTTTTATGAAGAATAACAAAATGATGATTTTGTCTAATGTTGTAAACATACTACATAGAGTGTTGAGAGTTTCCAGCAAAGTGGAGCTGATAATGAGTTCAACTTTGTTTTTTTACTGATGAAGGAGACCAGCAGGATAAATAATACAAATGACAGATATTACCAAAATAACCTCTATTTGGCTTTGGAATATATTGTGCAACCTTTTAAGGCCAGATTTTTCACTTCCAGTCCTCTTTTTTATGTATTGTTTTGCTTAATATTCGCATTGTCTCTGTTCCTTGAGGATCCAGCAGCTACCAGCAGAGCGAGGGCAGCAGAATCCGCAGGCAACTCGAAGACAGAGAGACAGCCATTAATTAAAGTTTATTTTGATGATGCCACATAGATGTAGAGAATGAAGAGTTAATGCTATTTTACTGTAGGTGGACTGATGATTGATTGCTTGAGGCACTTACCCCTTTTGTGTGGATAAATGACGTTTATAATAATCCCCTTCTGAAGACAAAGTACCGCTAATTCCCTGCAGAATAGGATTCTAGCCCGAGTCCTTTGTGACCCTAAGTGCGGAAAGCACTCAGAAAAACAAGCACGTGATTTGTGAACAGAGGTAGAATCATGAAACTCACCAAGTGGTCTTTCTCTTTCCGGGGACATCTCGGGTGGAGCAGAGCAAGCTGACTGACCTGGAGATCCTTGCACTGCTCATCGCGGCTCTCAGCCATGACTTGGACCACCGGGGTGTGAATAACTCTTACATCCAGCGGTAAGGCGCCTTTTCCCCAGCTAAAGAAGAAAACGTTTCTCTTAAATCGGAAGGCTGTCTTATTTATTTATTTATTTATTTATTTATTTATTTATTTATTCATTTGGGGGGAGAAAGCATGAGCATGTGAGAGAGAGCATGAGCAGTGAGGAGGAGCAGAGGGAGAGGGAGAATCAGACTCCCCGCTGGGCAGAGAGCCCAGCTCCGGGGCGGGGCGCATCCCAGGACCCATGAGATCATGACCTGAACTGAAGGCAGACCCTTAACCGACTGAGCCACCGAGGCGCCCCTAGGGCCATCTTTTTTAAAGTAAAACCGCAGCAAAATTTGATGGTACCAGGTTTCAACTGATTGAGGCCCCATAACATACTCTGGTTTTACTTAAGTGAAATGGAAAAAAAAATACTAAATCCAATATTATGTTGGTAGCATTTCTGGCCTGAAATTCAAAAAACCATTGTGTTGAGAATCATCTTTCACGAGATAATTACCAAGAGTGTTGCTTTGGTTTATGTATACCCAGCTTAAGAGCTTCATTAGGAAACGATATATTAAGACGAGTTCAAAAAAGATAGAATTTTACCCTGAAATAGAGAAGATAATATCTGAAAAGTGCTTAGCTTGACCCTGAGTACTTAGTGAGCACTCAGTAGAAGGAGGCTGTTGGTCTTAGAGAAGACAAGTTGGGGCCTGCAGTCAGACAGGATGCAGACCCTCTCTTTGCCACATGATTCCTGTGTGACCTTGGACAAAGGAGCTGATTTCTCTATGCTTCAATTTCCCTATCTGTATGATGGCGATAATAGCTTACCTACCTCATAGGGTTGATATGAGTTTTAAGAGCTAACATGTATTGATAGCAGGTGGAATGAACCTTGTGTATTTAAGTGTTAATTCTTAGCAGCAGATGCTAGTGATGGTCCTGTCGACATTAAAAGCCTGCTTTTTGGCTGCTTTTCAGAGCAGATACTAACTGGAGACAAGCATTTCAGGCTCCTCCCTCCCGGGCCATCCTTAAGTGACATTTGCAATGACAAATGAGATGATAAAGGTGACATCACTTGTCAGATTTTTGAGCCACTGGAACATGTTTATTTAGTCATAGCAATGTAGTTGAGAAGCCTACATCTTAATGGCAAAATCTCTTACTACTGAGCATTTCTTTAGGTATGCAAGTGAGGCAGCAAATGGGGAGACCCCTTAAGGAAGTTCCAGATGTCTGATATCTCGAGGGAATTTCAGAGAGCTCTCGAGTCACATTCCCTTTATCTAAATAAACGGAAAACTTCATATAACAAGAATTGTAGTGATGCGGCCACCATGTCCTCTGCTGACCTTTAATGGGAAAAGATGGCAAGCTCTTGCCCAACTGTCAGAGACTGGCTGTTTCCTCTTTAAGATCTGAACTTAAAGAGGAAGCGTTTTGGAGAACAGGCTGGATGCCATGTCCTTTGTCCTATGTGCTCTGCCATGTGATCGTGCTCCTGAGCCTCATGTTGACACGGGAGTAATTACGAAAGGGAAAAATGACATGGAAAGATGTTAGTGTGGATCAAACACAGCCAGAAGATCCAAGACAGTGGTGTATATTGCCTCCATACCTCAAAGCTGAACGTAATATTATTAGTGTATGGTTGGCTTTAAGATGCCATGTTGCCCTGCTTTAGAGTGAAAAAAACACTCAGCTATTTTTTCCTTTGTTTATTTAAAAATAATTACCCGGAAAAACATCTGGAGAAACGTCATCTTCTCTTCAAAAAAAAAAAGTCCTGGGAAAAATTCATAATTCATAGACTGGAGAATCTTGCCTCCACACACCCCACAAAGCAGACTTCCACCAAGTAAGAATAACTTTAAGAAAAAAAGTTAAAGGAGTTTCAGAGATTTTTATTTCTTCCTACATCTCTGTGGTTTGAGTAGAGGAAACCAAGAATTTTCCAGGGATATTGCTTTTTTTTTTTGCTTTCCTTAGTGGTAAACGAGTAATACTTCAGGAGGATTTTCATAACCAGGGGACTCTTGGGAGAATGAGAGTACCATAAACATTCCCTTGTAGAGCTAACTTGTAAAAAGGGGTACCATGTCCAGTCTCGTCAGTACCAAACACTACGTGAAGAAAACCATTACAATCAGAGAAGGCACAGAACTGAAACTAATATATCAAAAAGATGGAAAGCACTCATGTCGAACCGAAGTTAGAAACTGAACTTCCTCTGTCATTCGTTCTTCTTGAACATCTTTTCAGAAAATTAATTTGAAGTAAGATATATAGGAAACCATGTTTTGATCCATTATTTGGTCCTTTGATGGCTTCCTTAATTAGGAAAACTGTCATTGTGAGGAGAGCCACAAGTATGCCAGTGAAATATTTGGAGGAAGTGTTCACTGCTATGCTCTCTTCTCCCATTTGGGTGGGTAAAACCGAGAGTGGTTTCTGATAGATATTAAATTGTTATTTTAAAAACAGGCAGTAATGGGGACAAAATGTCACAGACATCTACTAGAGAAAGCACAGCGTGACCCTCGGCCCATGTTGAGAATCCTCTTGCATTAGGCCAGCAGTCAGTATAAGAAGACTGTTGTGGATGCATTTATTTGGTTAGATTCGAGTTTAGTATTTTATAAAAGAATAAGTGAAAGTGTCCTGCCTTTTAGGCAGCCTGCTAATGGACAATTACTAGGGCCCAGCACTTTGTGAGGCAGAAAGAGAGCTATGAAGTATAAAATGCAGTTCCTGTAATTAAGTAATTTTCATAGTCTCATGAAATGGTGGTGCTCGATATAAGAAAAGTGCCCAGTAAGTGCTGAGGTGCTTTGTAATGTGGACTGTAAGTATTCGGCAGAGGAGATGGGTCAATACCTATGCAGTCCCTCTCCAGTCAAAGGACCAAGTGAGACAAAGTGGATCCTGAGATGTGGGTAAGATTTGGAGAGGAGAGGGAATGAAGATAGCCCAGAAACACTTGGAGGTGGGTAGGCATTCTCAGGGAACAGCAATGGCTGGCCCAGTGCAGAGTCCAAAGGCTCCACTGACCGGGATGGAGAGTCAGAGCATGAACAAGTAGAAGGTAGCGGCCCCTTGGAGGGAGAGCTATAAAACTAAGCAGTGAGCTCGAGCTGTGGTAGAGTGAAGATACCAGGAGCCATTGCAGTGAGTCATAAGGACCTTGCTGAGGAAGGAAGGATGACTGAATGTCAGATACAAGGTGCAGTGGGTAATAATTGGGAGCACGGAGTTCAGCCTGGAGGCTGGTACAGCTGCCGCATACATGGTGCCTCTCACATACTGGCTACAGGGAGGAAGAGATGAGGGAGAAGTGCTTTTCCATTTACTACAAAACAGATGCTAATATGCATGAAGGAAGGGGGAAATCATGACTCGTGACCCAAGAAACTGGAACAGCGATGGAGCCATTGATGAAAATGGAGGAACTGGGAAGTGTGTGCATGTGTGTGTACTTAGGGAGGAAGGAACGAGAAGGGCAGAAGGGGGAGGAGTGTTGGCAATGAGGAGAAAATAATAAATAGTGTGGTATTTAGAAGAGGTAAAATGATTAAAGGAATGGGTTTTTTCTTTTTTGCCAAGTTTCCGTAAAACCAGAATAAAAGAGTTTCCTGGTAACCATAATCAGACCATGTCTGTGTCCTGGGTCTGTGCCCTGGTCTCCCCGACTCTAGCAGAGGAATGGGAGTGAGCTGGAGTCCAGGCCCGCATGGGGACAGTAGACGGTCAGCGGGCTCCGAGGGTCTCACCAGGGGAGACAGCACAGGAATCACCATTTGTGAAGTTCAGCTGGGTAGAGTCTATATTAGCCAGAAATGAGATCGCTCCTGATTAGGGTGGAGGGCTTGAGAGACTGGAGTCTCTGAATATGCAAGAACTGCAAGTTCAAGGAGTCCTAATGTCACTAGCTAATAATAATCATAATAATAGAAGTTAACACTTAATATGGCCCTTACCATGTGGCACTGGGAACTCTTTTTAGTCCTTTATATACATGAGTTCAGTTAGTCCTTAGACTACCCCACAGTGGCTACGATGGTTACCGTGGTTAAAGGCTGGCTCGAGCCAGACGCCTGGGTGCAAAAGCAAACACTGACTCCATCTGACCTTGAGTGAGTCATTTAATATCCCTCTTTCTATTTCCTTCTCTGTGCAATGGAATAATGACAGTATCTGTCTTGCAGTTTGTTTTGTTTTAACAAGGATTAAGGAGTATAAATAAATGTAAAGGACTTGGAACAGTACCCAGCACGGAGTAGATACTCTACAGCTTTTAGCATTTTCTTTCTTTTTTTCTTTTTTGTAAGGATATTATTTATTTATTTGAGAGAAAGAGGGTGAGAGAGAGCACCAGAGCACAAGCAGGGTCTGGGGCAGAGACAGAAGGAGAAGCAGACTCCCAGCTGAGCGGGGAGCCTGACACGAGACTCGATCCCGGGACCCTGAGATCATGACTGGAGCCAAAGGCAGGCAGTTAACCAGCTGGGTCACCCAGGTGCCCTAATCTTAGCATTTTCAAATGGGGATACTATTAAGGACATACATCTGAATTCAGGATCTTGCTTCATCCCACGGTGGGACATGGAGCAGGCTACAGCAGAAATACTGCATCTGGCAGCACCTAGCAGCTGTGGAACACAGAAGGGCGTACATATCATTGACGTGAACAGAGACTATCCGTGGGGTCCAGGCAGTCAAAGAACGCAGGTCAAAAGACCCAACGAGTCATGAGCTTGAATATCTGTGGCATCTAATGTGATCACAGAGAATATGAAGGTAAAATGACCCCCAGCCGCTCAAATACAGCAGTGATGATTTGGAAAGAATGTGGGAAGTAAAGAACTCAGTGGGGCTGACAAAGTTTACCAAGAGCAGTGAAGAGATCCGAGCTCAGAGCCATCCACCTGGATGAGAAGCAGAAGCAGGGTGTGTAAAGAGTCTATAAAAAGGAATCCTAGGGCAGCAGGCATTGTTTTTCTCACAGAGCTTACACTTTCTATTGATTTCTGAGGCTTTCTATTTCTAGAACATTATTCTGATTTGGGCACTGGCATCCTAACGCCGCTCTCAGAGATGGACAGACGACTGCAGGACAAGAGGAAAATGTGGGAGGGTGTCCAGTCCGTACTGCTCACTGCCTTCAGTGGGGGCATAACCTTCAGTGGCGGTGGTGACTTACACAGGTCCCTCTGACAGGATCTCACAGAAAGAAGCACAGCCTTGTGTTTGAAAGAGTGGAAAGCAATGGGATGTAGAATACATGGGTGTCCATGAATATTTTTATAAACAGGAAACTTGGGGCATTTGTCACCCTTTTATTGATTCATAAATCCATATTTTTAGAACGTAAGTAAAGACAAACACACATAATTTATATTCATCTCTCGCACACCCCGAGAAGTTTTTCTAATATGAAACAGTCCTTTCTGCATTGTCTAAAAATGTGATGTGCGCTCAGCATTTTAAACTTGTTTGCATTGCGGCCTCATAATCGCATTTCTAGTCCGGCTTCTAACTAGGTCAGTGAGCAGCTGCTGTGTGCAAAGTGCTTGTGGGGTCCTGGGCCAGCATGACGTGGTGAGGGGATGTGTTCGAATCCCAGCTCGGCCATTGATATTGACCTTGAACAAGTTAGATAATCCCTCCGATCTCTTGATTGTCTAAAATATAAATGCTAAAATGCCCATTTTAGAGAGGTCTAGGCCTGGATCGCCCCGGGGAGGCACAGCCTGACATGAACGCTGGTGTGCACACAGCTTATTTGTATATGTGGTCCCTGGGGAGCAGGAACGCAGGCCGGCGGGTGGGAAACAGGGAAGGAGACGCCAAGGGAAGGATGAACTACCAGCCGTCCACCCATCCAGGCAGCTGGGGCTCCGTCCTGCCAGGTGCTTTTGAGAAGTCTTAGGAAATGAGACCCAGAACTGTTTGTATATGGACAGGGACAGAGCAGGGAGGGGCAGCTGTCCACAAGCTCCCGTGCCCCATTGGTCAAAGATGATCTCTATGGACCTTGACTCCTCCATCCCCTAGGCTCAACACGTGGGGGTACAGCACGAGAGTTCCCGTGGACACCAGCTGTGAGGGCAGAGAACTTCGGGCAGAGTCAAGAGGGACTCACGGTGGGGTGGCCACGAACCTTCTAGAAGGCAGAGCATCTTCTAATCGACCCCTGCAGGGAGTCTGTTAAATCTCACACGAAACTCAACGCTGCATCAGTGGCTGGAGTCAGACATGGGCTGAGGATTTGGATGTGGAGAACGGAAATGTCCCATATTAAATAAAAATTAAATATAAACTACTTAGTACAACAGTGCCTGACATGTTCGAGGCTCTCCATAAATGTTAATTATTATCATTAGGGAAAACAGAGCTGACCAAGCTCAAGAGGTTTACAGTCTAACAAGGTAATAGATGTATAAACAGCTAACAACAGGCAGAACAAAATGGACATTAAACTAATACCATATGTCCTTGGATTTCTTACATAAGTGAAAATAAGCAGATACTCTAGATGTGAAGGGAATGGGGAAGGCTGCAACTGTCCTGTTGAAGCTGACTTTAGCATAGCTGGCCTGAACGGTGAGAAAAGGCTGTGGCCAAAGTAGAGAACGTACAGAAGGGAGGCCATCGTTCTGTTTACCCTGGGCCCTCCAATCCTCAGCAGCGGCCCATCCAGTCCTGTGATGCGGATTATTACCTGTGTGGGCTGATGCGTTTCAAGTCTGCATCTCCAGCCCAGACCCGACTACATACCAAGTACTTTCTAGACCTCAGGCACCTTAAAATCAACAGATCCAACCCTCAACTAGACACCTTCCCCTCCTTCACCTCCCATCCCTGATCATTCTCTCCCTTTTTCCCTCTGTCTGTAAATGACAAGGCAGACACTTGGCAGGCATACTTTCCCCTGACAAACATCCCTGCTGGGTCCCCACATTGGGATCCATGCCAACTCCTACTATCTCCTAAACAGTTTTTAGGTAATTCTGCTTCTCAATATGCAGGATTCCATCACCCAAGTCTGGGCTGTCTTATACCAACATTACTAGAACTGGGACTGCTAGCTTCCCAGTAGTCTCCTAACTAACTTCCAGTCATCTCCAGTTTTAATTCCAGCAAATTTCTCTCTCTCTCTCTCTCTTTTTAATAAATCTCGTTTTACTTCATCTATTGTCTTCCTGTTGTCTGATGATAAGGGCAGTATCTAATCCATCATACAACTCACTAAATGTGGAAGGAGCAAAGAAGACAAGCAGGCAGGAGTTGACTTGGAAAAGTTACAACAGCACAAAAAATGGAGGTCTGGGGGTCAGCGGGATCAGTGGTAGATTATACAACAGGAACAGATGAGATTGCCCGTTCTCTTGTCTTTATTTCCCTTTTATTTTTTCTGTTTTCCCTTAAGCATCTCTGACTCTGCTCAGTTTCTTCCTGTGTCCCGTTCCTTCAGTGTTGGGCAGCTTCTCTGTCTTCAAATTAAATGATTCATAAATTATTGATTCAAATAGTAGTATAAAGAAATAACAGGTCAACTGTATTATCTAACACTTGTGTTGTACTTTACAATTCATAAACCCCTGTCCTATAAATTTTTAGGAACAGAGACTGGCAGGAACTCTAACTTCTTCTTTTAAAGAAAAAAATAGTGAAAATTATGCTTCATATTCACATGTGACGGGTCATGAGAAATATGAGGCAGAGGAGGGTGCTTGTCATGCTTTAGAACTTGATTTGTGACTCCCTGTTACATATAATGAACTGAGTAGAATATCCTTCCCACTCCCTTCACTCAGCCAAATGATCTCTACAGTGTTCCCCAAGTTCAAATGAACGAGCTCATGGGATATCCTACACTGAAATAAGCTGGATCCCACAAAGGGCACTTGTTCTGACTCCTCTGTCTCCTTCCTGCCTTCAAAGGAGGATGTGCGCCAACTCTGCCCCTTTTCTGTGCCTTTCCTCACTCGCGCCTGATCATTCCGTCTCAGTCCACTCTCTCTGGGTATGTAGGCACGCGTGAAGACGCTGACCTTCAGCCTTGTTTCAGAGGAAACACTGACCTTGACATTTGTCTCAGATTTTAAACTAATTGCAGTTTTGAAATTGAAAAATATAATTGGTGCAATTATTTCAGAGTTTTTTTCATGTTTAGAAGAATGAATCTTTTGTCCTTATTCCTTCTACTGTTTTATCAATATTAAAATCAGTGAAATTGTTCATACTCTGAACTGGCACTAATTACACTGATTATTTGAGAACAACTTGACTGTATTCCCCAGAGATTAATTCAACCTCTTCCTCGGCAAAAGAAGAGAATATTGTTAGTTTGGTTAATTGTGTGCAGTACCCTCTTTTTTCATTAACCAGTATTGAGGAGACACTAATACACTGACATGTTGGGGAAATGGGTAATTGTTAATCAGTTTTTCTCCCTTCAACAAAATCTGTTTCAGGAGTGAACACCCACTTGCTCAGCTCTACTGCCATTCGATCATGGAGCACCATCATTTTGACCAGTGCCTGATGATTCTTAATAGCCCAGTAAGTACCTACTTCGTGGCGGCAGAATTTTAAAAGAGACCTTTATAAATTCAGTTTTATTTTTAAGTTTTGGATGGGTTCCCAGCACCATAAATTCTTGAGCCTGCTTTATTCCTTTTTGGGTAAGGAAGGCAAAGCCAAAACATTTAAGATCTTCCCAGCCTCGCTTCTCTACACAACCAAGACTGTCTCAATGTTGCCTGATAAAGGATATCTGGTTACTCACCTCAGTTTGGTTTTTGCAAACTAGAAACAAACAAAACTAGTATTTTATGGCTCACAGTTAATTCTTTTTTTTTTCTTTCTTTCTTTTTTTTGGTCAAATGAAGTGGCTTATATAGCTGTCAGAGGTTTGCTTTCACAAAACCAGGCCTGTTCCTCTTCTTATTGAATATTCTGACTACTCACAAACTGTTATGTTAAGGAATAGAGCTGTTCAACAGTTTGGTTAAACGAATATTTATCAGTGCAGAAAAGCATATGATATGCTACGCTAGACAAACTTGTGTGAAGGGAAATCAAATAATGTACACCAAAGCATTAACAAGGGTTGTCTCAGCCTAGTTAACTTATTAATACTTTTTATGTTCTCATTTTGATTTGTTCATTATTCACACTATCTACTACACTCATATATTACCTTTATAATAAGAAAAAAGTGAAGCTGTAACTATCACATGGAACAAACACAAAACATGGTATATAATCTTAAAGCAGTTTTACCTCCATCTTTTTATGCTTGCTCGCTGGGACTAGCTCTTCTCTGAGCCCTAGAACAAAACTTAGGAGGCCCATAACTTTTCTGGTCATTCTTTCTTCTTATCTTTTCTTTCCAGAGAGACAGGGGGTGGGTACAGAGGGAGAGAGAATCTCAAGCAGACTCCATGCCCAGTGCCAGCCTGATGCAGGGCTTGAGCCTGTGATCCCATGATCCCAAGGTCGTGACCTGAACCAAAATCAAGAGTCGGACGCTCAACTGACTGAGCCACCCAGGCGCCCCATTTTCTGGTCATTCTTTTTTTTTTTTTTTTTTTTTTTGGCCATTCTTTTTAAGTAAAAGCCTTCTAATTACCTTAAGTCCCAAAATACAGTATACAGGTCTCAATTTAGAAACCAAAATATCACCGGGCGTGGCGGCCCATGCCTGTAGTCCCAGCTACTCGGCATTCTGAGGCAGGAGGATCACTTGAGCCCAGGAGTTCTGGGCTGTAGTGCACTATGCCGATCGGGTGTCCACACTAAGTTTGGCATCAATATAGTGACCTCCCGGGAGCGGGGGACCACCAGGTTGCCTAAGGAGGGGTGAACCGGCCCAGGTTGGAAACAGAGCAGGTCAAAACTCCCGTGCTGATTAGTAGTGGGATCGCACCCGTGAATAGCCACTGCACTGCAGCCTGAGTGCAACATGTAGCTAGACCCTGTCTCTTAAAAAAAAGAAAAAGAAAAAAGAAACCAAAATGTCTAGTCCGGTGTAAGTCCGGATTCTGGATTTGGTTTAAAGTCTTCAGACTCTCCCCTTCCTGCTCTGGTTGGCTTCTTTCATCCCTACCTTATGTTATTTCTAACTCCTTCCTCATTCCTAAAACCCATGTAGTTTCCTATCCCTCCAGACTTGGAGAGTAGGAAGGGGGAATGAGTAAGAAGAGGGGCAAGAACCCTCTCAATAGACTGGTACTATTAGGAATGTCTCACTCTTTGGGTCTGGTAGGTGTTTAAACCAAGTTATTTTCTTGTGGGCAGGTTCATGATCCCTGCCAGGCTCCCTTATTGTGGGGTTTTTCTACCAGATGTTTCTTTAATGTGAATGGTCATCTCTGTCTGCTCTATGCATGGCTCCTTCCTCAGCTCCTGAAAGTCAGATCACTCACTTTGAGAACCTTTCTACGAAGGTTCTTTAGCCTTCTTTGTGGCCCTCTTGAAAAGGACAGGGTGGAAAAGAACCCCTGCCTCCAAAACTCGGAGAATGCAAGCCGTCCCATATAGTAGTAAGCTTTCCTTTACTGCCAAAGTCAATGTGGCTAGTTAACTTATGTCTTGCCTTTTAGATTTTCCGGACAGGATTTAGACATGAGACCACTGCGGGCCCTCCCGTAGCCTAGTGGGTGTAGGTCCCTAGTGGGACATATGTAGGGACTTCATGCTCCTCTCTTACCTGAGGTGACGGGGAACATGATCACACCTCTCCCTAAACATCTCAGTGTGGGTGAGGGGTTAAGAGTTACACAACCAGATCGGCAACCTCATTACAGATTCTGCATACAGTCTCATACAGATTGCTAAAGTATGTGATTGTTTAATATGAATTAGTTCATGTGTGGTTGGTGCTTAAATGACATTAGCATAAGTGTACAGGTTGTATTCTTTCCTACACACATTCCCTTGGGTACAGTACCGGAATTATGGAAGTTGAATTTTGACCTTCAGCAAGAAAGCAAAAAAAAAAAAAAAAAAATCCCTCCCCTTGGCTTTTGCTCATGCACCCTTTCTGTCCTATATCAAGAAGGTTGACAAGGTCACTTGCACCTGATTCGTTGCTCTTTTGCTTTGGACAATGGCTTTGGGCTCGGAGGAGGGTGCTCTTCCTTCAGTGCCCACCTAAGCTGCCCCACTGTCTCCAGATCCAGTCCCAACCATGTTGTCTCTGGGCCCCCACACACCAGCGTGCATGCCCTTGTTACGTACGTCTTGACCGTTCACAGAGGGCCTCCAGACTGGCCGGTCTGAGCTGTCCAGGTTACCTCCACATGCACCAGTCTTCAGTCTGCTTTATGCTCTGCTTCCTAAAGTTGCACAGGTTTTGTGTGATCTGCCCCAACACGATTTGTCCCACAAACCGTATCATTTTTAGTGTGTAGGGTTTCAGAACAGAGACTTTTCAGGAATCACATATTGTGTGGTAGTAGAAGCATCTGTACTTTTCTTGGGGTTTGCTATCTATGTGCCTTATTTAAAAATATAAAACTTTTATTTCAATATCCCATTCAGTTTTAAAGAAAGGAAATATGCTAACCTTTTCCTAAAGCATATTTAACAGTATCCCTATCAGGCGTACCCATGTCATTCAATAACATAGCTTACTAAGTAGTATGTTATAAGACCGTGTGTATATTCTGTCTTTGTAAGCACCAAAACATAAGAACTCACGGTCACTGTTTTCGGAATGGAAAATAAAAACATAACAGCAAAAGATACTTCCTTTTCCACTTGAAGTTGTTTTATGTTTAATAAAAGTAGCAGGAGTTATTTTCTAAATAGTTTTCTTTCTGGCCTAGAATCTAAAATGACTTCATAGCTAAAAACAATGTGCATGGTTACAATCACAGATTCATTAATTAGATTCACACCACAGTGTTGGCATCTAGTTACCCTCAAACCAGTGTTGCCTGCCGCACTCAGCAATTTCCCTGTCTTTAGAACATATCCTTTGCCTCCAGATATCATTCCTACACTTCTGGGTCTTTTTTTTTTTTCCATTGGACCTGCGATTTAGGAAGCACATCTCACTTAATTTACAGATACTGTTTTGAGGATATGCTGAGTACCCAAGGAATGTTTTCTGTAGTTCAAGATGAGAGAACTACTATACTTTAAATTACAGATAAGAAATTTTAAAAAATGGTTATATGGCAAAAATGTTCCATTATTTACAGCTGGATTAGCCAGCTTTTCAATATTTCTTATAGATGTTTCAACCCACGTTTGCTTTTTATCACCAGTAAGCGCACCTTTGGCTCATGTCCTGTACCCATCTGTATCAGCGTGTTCCTAAAGAATACACAGTGTTCTCTACATTGATTAAGTTAAATTATATAACTTTGCACCCAAAGAGTGTTTTTGGATTTATTACAAAAGCCATAGAGAACTGATTTCTTTAATAATCAATTGTTTAAAAGTTTCACTACTCCATTCTTTATGTCCATTAACACGGCTTTGGTCTTTCAAAGGTTTCTCTTGCTGTTACAGCAATTCACCTGCCCAAAGGTCAAAGATGTAGAGTTATTAGATTTCAGGCCTGGCCCAAGGCCCAAGGGGTATAAGATTTGGAAAGACATACATTGTAGGCAGATGAACCATTATGAAGCTGTCTTTTCTTTTCTTGACAAGGTGGTGGAGGTGGGAGCATAGAGGGCAAACATCCTTTCATGGTATTTACTCTGAAGTAAGCAGCTGTCCTCTGTATTCATGAGTTCAGAACACTGTGTTTAAGGGGCCTGTGTTTAAGATACGTCACTCTATCTTCAGATTTTGTTCTTGTCAGCCCTTTCTCCAGGTGGAGTGCTAATGATGGTTTTCTTTTTATAAAGGGCAACCAGATCCTCAGTGGCCTCTCCATTGAAGAATATAAAACCACGCTGAAAATGATCAAGCAAGCTATTTTAGCTACAGACCTAGCACTGTACATTAAGTAAGTCCTAAGAAATATTCTGCAATAAATAGGTCTTGGAAGTGTTTGCACTGTTTCAAACTTTTAAAATGCATGTTGGCAAATTTTTAGATTATAAAGACAAATGTCTTGGCGAGTCAAATGTCTTGTTTTTCAAACTATGAAGCAGTTTCCTAAAGGAAGCCAGAAAAGGCTATTTCTTTGACTTATCACTTAATGCTACAAGTTCCAGAATACAGAGTTATTTGTGCTGTTGATCTACTGCTATGTCTCTGAAGTGATGTACAAAGTAAATTATCATACCCAGGTCATACCAAGCTAGGTTGTGCAACCTAAAGATGATATAGTCTGTTTGCTTTTCCTTCTTTCCTTCACTGCCCCCCTGCAGCTTCTGACTGTGTTACAGCTCCTTTACACTGTCATCTAAGCCTAGGTGGGCAGGAAAAGGAGCTAAGTGCCAGACAAATAAATCTTGTTTCTTTTTATTTGATCCTGGCAGAAGAGTATTAATATAGAACTTTAGTTAGTGAAGTTACAGACTCAAAAATTAAAGTGGGCATTAGAGTAATATTTGTCATGCATGTATGCATTTACCTATAATTAAACTGCCTTTCTAAAAGCGAGAAAAGCTTTGCTGCCTTCGGGCAGGCCAGTTTCCCACATGCAGACTGAGATCTTTGCTGCACTTGTAGGAGTGAGGGGAGAGGAGTCTGGAGGTCACACTCACGGGATTTCCTTGAAGCACAGTGCTCTCTCCCTCTACACAAAGATTCACACCCATGGCTTTAACCACTCTGATGAGAAGTAAAAACAGAACAGACACACAAAATCACATACCAGATACCCACTCTTGTACATTTAAAAGTAACAGCATCTAAAAGGGTCTGGGTCATTGGATTTTGGAGCACTTGAAAGTTAATTAGGATGAAAGAAAAGACAGCAAACTTCAGTTTATTTAAAATGACTGCAGAACAAAGATTATCAGATTATGAAGAATTTAAAAATTTCTGTAACCACAAAGACTTCCCAGGCTTTCCAGGCCACATGGGTCTTGCCTCTGAACCTGTATGAAACCTATTTTCCATTTTTGATACTCTAATCACATACAGTCCGTTTTGTTATATAAGTGTTTCTTACATTTGTTTTGTGTCTCCGACTAGATTTTAAACACGATCAGAAAGGCTCATGCCTTATAACTTCCCAACATGCTTAACAAGTGCTGGGCACAGAGGAGTTATCACTCGACACTGAGTGAATATCAGTGTACACTTTATTTGGTCTTTGCTTCAGAAGACCTTTGCTACTTTATACTGAGTATAGGATATAGAGTAATTATGAATTTTTCTACTCTATACCATAATGTGTAAGATAAATGAAATTAAACCGAAGCCATATAGATCTGATTATGCCATACCCTTAAAATTTCTTAAGTCATTCTTGGCATCAAATTTTTAACTCATTTGTTTCATTTTCTAAAGATCATATTTAACAATTGAAATGACCATTATTTGTGAGCCATAGTGAAATAATAATTTGAAAATAATTTCAATTTTAAAATAATCTGTTTTACCCAAAGAAAATGGTAGAAGGGAGGACAGTGAGATATTTTTAGTTTTTTTTTTTAATTTTAATTTTTATTTATTTATTTAACAGACAGAGATCATAAGTAGGAAGAGAGGCAGGCAGAGAGAGAGGAGGAAGCAGGCTCCCCTGCTGAGCAGAGAGCCCAATGCTGGGCTCAATCCTAGGACCTGAGCCAAAGGCAGAGGTTTTAACCCAGTGAGCCACCCAGGCACCCCGATATTTTTAGTTTCTTAAATGATGACTTCTATATTGGATTCTAAGGTGGGGGAAAAAATTTAGAGATTTTTTTTCCAAAAAAATTTACTCTATGGGTCTTTGTCAACCAAAGAAATAAGAGCCTGGGGACTCATCATAACTACCAAATGTTTTTCTTTATTTTCAAGGAGACGAGGAGAATTTTTTGAACTTATAAGAAAAAATCAATTCAATTTAGAAGATCCTCATCAAAAAGAATTGTTTTTGTAAGTAGGTTTCCTGTCCTTAAAGCTGAAGTCTTGTTACCCAATTAATTTTATCACTATCAGATTTTATTGCAATTATTTGTTACAATGGGATGATCTTAGAGGTTGTTAGAATTCTCTAGAGTGTTGTATAAAGGGCTGAATATGAATATTTATTTGAAAAGAAATGCATTTGCCAATACAAGTGAATAAATCACTCCTTTGTCCTAGAAGGACCTTTAAAATGTGGTAGAATATCAATACAAAGCTGTAAGGTTCCCTTGCTCATATTCCCAATTGTTTGGAATGGAATAGCTGAAAATAGCATCTCCAAGACTGTGGGAGCAAGAAGGTCACTGTGAAGTGTTCACTTCTCTTGAGTGATGGCAGAGTAGCACAGTCAGAACGTCAAGATTTCCATTTCCCTCCCCTGTACACCTGTCCTTCCCTTCTAGCTGCAGAGACCATCCCTTCGGTGTTAGCATTCCTACCTTTGCCATGGCAAGAACCGGGTCCATCACAAAGAACAGGCGGTCAATCATAGAGAAAAGAATGACTCAGAACACCAAGGAGAGTTCTATCATAATTTTGAAATCAACATTTCTTTAAATGGATTGATACTACTTAGCATGCAAAAGAAGATGCAAATTTTAAGGAAACAACGCACAAATGCCCAGCTTGTCTGTTCTGTTCGGCGCAATCATGCTTGACTTAGTCTCAAAATGTTTTTCATAACAGTTCCTTAGAAAAGTAGAGACCTGTAGGGGCGCCTGGCTGGCTCAGTAGGTAGAGCATGCCTCTTGATCTTGGGTTTATAAGTTCAAGCTCCACACTGAGTGTAGAGATTACTTAAGAATTAAAAAAAAAAAAAAAATTAAAAAAAAAAGTATAGACATGCTACTGTAGTTAGTGAACAGTTTGTCCCAATAACAAAAAAGAAATCCAAAGGTAGTTCCAAGTCTACAGCTGCTCCCACTGCCAGGTCCTACGTGCTTGCTGAGAAGAGCTCCCAGTTCTAGAACACAATGTCCCATGAGCACCCATTTTTCAGATTTTAGTGAAGCTCACTGAGGGGTATAGTCTTCTCTGGGGCTGACAGTTTATACTGATGAGCACCGAAATCCTGCATGACAGCGGGTTTATAGTGATTGCAGATATCTCTCCTGCTCCCACTTCTCCAAGAGAGTTGGTGGAAGAGGTCAAGTAGCAGCAGCAAACCACTTCCTTTTTGCCTCACAAATTTAAGGGAGAGCGTGCTTTTAGGTTGGGTTTCCCTGCAGGGATGAGGGATACAGCCCTTTACCGCAAGTGTTTCTGTATTACAGTGATGGCCTTTCTGCCTCTTCATTCAAACGAAATTATTACAGACATGCCTCTGGCTCCAAGATGGGAAACATTGCACTAAGTACAGAGCCATTGTCATATGACAGTTATGCTCCTGGGTTTCTAGAGCACCTTGTATCAACGCCAGAGCCCAGCATGACTTTCGCTTCTCTCAACCACAGAAAGACAAAAGAGCACTGTCCTCTCATTCCCCCCTTTCTCTGGCAGATACTGTTTAAATCAGAGCTTTTCACACAGAAAGAAGTCACTTCATATGCTGAGGTCAGCATTGGGATGACCCACGATCATTCTTGCTCTCCTAGAACTTCTATCAATAGAATATCTGATGTTACCCTTTAATGGCAAATTACTTACTAGTGGACAATGTGGTTTCATCATAGTGTCACTGAGAATGGGATACTAAGGTGAAAAAAAATAGTAACAGCAGGCAAGCTTTTGCCCAAGGTTAGTAATTTCTCTCCCTGTGCCAATCTGGAGCGAAAGGAGGCAGTTTCAGGGCAAATCCCAATAGTTCAGTGGACAGCCAAAACCGTGACACAGTGCTGTTGCTGAATCAATCAAACTTTAGAAAAATTGTTCCTGTTTCTTTAGTCTTTATAAGCAGGCATCCTACATAGGTTAGGGGGCTTTAAATTTAAACTTTTTACCAGTAACTATTTACCAAGCGTATATATTTGCATAAAAAGGAGGGGGAGAAAAACCATGAGAGACTGTGCACTCTGAGAAACAAACTGAGGGTTTTAGAGGGGGGGTTGGGTGAGCCTGGTGGTGGATATTATGGAGGGCATGTATTGCATGGAGCATTGGGTGTGGTACATAAACAATGAATTCTGGAACACTAAAAAAAATTAAATTAAATTAAAAAAAAAAAAAAAGTAAATCGTAGCCTTGGGCTTCTTTTTTCCCTTAACAGAGCGATGCTGATGACAGCTTGTGATCTCTCTGCCATTACCAAACCCTGGCCTATTCAACAACGGGTATGTTGCTTGCTGATAGTAAAAGCAGGGATTAAAAAGTCAAAGGAAGAAAAGTCTGTATTCTATAAGTAGCTTCGGGAGTATTTGTGGTATTTTATCTAATTTTTAAGTGGTATTAAAAGCAGATAATTGGACACAACCAGGTTTTCTTTTTTAGAAGTTTCCTTAGCATGTACTAATATTTATAAGATACAGTAAGAGAGAGAGCACCTGTATTAATACAGCAAAAATCCAGCTGTTGATAATCTTTAATTCCAGTACTTCTGGCTCCCTTGGGAATGTTTTTAGCACATTTTTTTTAATAACCTTGAAAAACAGAAGCAGCAAATTATTTTTCTTTTGATGATTTTTCTTTTTGGTTAGCCTTCCAGGCTATACCTCCGCTCCAAGTAGGCATTAATGAGTAGAACTTAAACATGTCCTGGGGCTTATAAATATAGGAAATGTTGATATAAAGTGTCAGGAAGGATGTGATCAGGGCCTGTGGTTGGGAGGCTAGAAATATATCCTTCTCTCTAAATAAGTAACTGCCATAACATTTCTTAGAGGCAGTAAAGGCCCTGGGCTCAGACAAGGGACGGCTGTACATACAGTGCTGCAGATATCGTGCTTTTGGGTTTTAATCCTAAGTGCACTACTCGAGACTGTTGACAGTCTGCTGCTGGTCAGGGCTGGGCTCTGAGCTGCACAGTCATGGAGGCCAGTGACAGGTTCATCTCATAAAACACAAATGCTGAGAAAACAAGATTAGAAATGGACTCTGCAGGCACCATAGCTGCCGACGTGCTGTAAGCACTCGAGAAAGATGGTCTTCATGGACTGTCCTGCTCCGTAATAAATGGGACTATCTGCCCATTTCCAAATAGGGAAGAGGGTGAAAGAGGGAAGAATTTGTCTTTTCATTTATCATTTCAGCTTAATCAGATCCCAGAAAGGTAGAGCCATGAGGTTGGGGGTCCAGACATAAAAACCAATACTTAAAGCCTCTAATTAAAATAGTTTGGTATTGGGACGCCTGGGTGGCTCAGTTGGTTGAGCAGCTGCCTTCGGCTCAGGCCATGATCCCAGCGTCCTGGGATCGAGTCCCACATCGGGCTCCTTGCTCGGCAGGGAGCCTGCTTCTCCCTCTGCCTCTGCCTGCCTCTCTGTCTGCCTGTGCTCGCTCGCTCACTCTCCCTCTGTCTCTGACAAATAAATAAATAAAATCTTTAAAAAAATAAATAAATAAAAAATAAAAAAAATAAATAAAATAGTTTGGTATTGGTGATAGACCAGTGGAACACAATAGAGCATTGAGAATTGCATAGAACATTTAGTGTATAATAAAGATAGCATTTCAAGTAACTGGGGGAAGAGAGAGACTTTTTATGAAATAATCTTAGGGTGACTTTCCCATCTTCCATAACCAGATGCCAAAAGACAAAATTGGATGTACTTTGCATACTTACATTCCAAATGGAGCATAGAGTTCAGTGTAGAGAATTAAACCATAGAAGTACTAAATAAAAACATCTGTGGATTCTTCCATAACTTAGGAGTAAGAAAACTTACCTAACTATGGCTCAACATTTAGAAACAATGGAAAAGATTGATAAACTTGATTACATAAATTTTTTTAAAAAGCAAACTTTTGCATGGCAAAAGACACTGTAAGCAACGTAAAAGTAAATGAGAAACTGATAAAAATATTTACAACTTTTATTTTATATTTAATACCCCAATATTAAAGAACTCATAAAAACAGAGAAGAAAAACAACAACAATCTTTCAGAAAAATGGGCCAAAATTTTGAACAAAAAGTTGATGGAATGTGAATGGCTCTTACTCATTTGCAGAGGTCCTCAGAACTTCATTCATAAGAACTACAAATAAACTTGACACAGAAAAGCTTGTATAGAATCTCATAACAGGGGGCACCTGGGTGGCTCAGTCCTTAAGTGTCTGCCTTCAGCTCAGGTCCTGATCGCAGAGTCCTGGGATCAAGCCTGGTGTCAAGCTCCCTGTTCAACAGGAAGCCTGCTTCTCTCTCTCTCTCACTCTCCCGTGCTTGTGTTCCCTCTCTTGCTGTCTCTCTCTGTCAAAGAAATAAATAAAATCTTTAAAAAAAAAAAAAAAAAGAATCTTATAACAGCTCCATTCCTAATATGGTAGTATTATATATGGCAGACACGTTCCAAGACCCCCAGTGGATGCCTGAAACCACAGATAGGACTGAACCCTTATATATACTATGTTTTTTCCTATGTATACATCACTATGGTAAAGTTTAATTTATAAATTAAGGACAGTAAGAGATTAACAACAATAACTAATAATAAAATAGAACAATTCTAACAGTATACTATAATAGAAGTTATGTGAATGTGGGGTCTCTCTCTCTCTCTCTTATTATATTGCACTCTCCCTCCTCCTCTTCGTGATGATGGGAGATGATAAAGTGGAGAGGTAGTGGGGTGGATGATACAGGCATTGGGATGGAGCGTTAGGCTTCTGTTGGGCTTCTGACCATATATCAGAGGGAGGATCATCTGCTTCTGGACCGCAGTTTGAAACCATGGAAAGCAAAACTGTGGATAAGGGAGATTACTCTGGTCAGGACTAGAAACAACCCAAACATTGATCAGCAGGAGGATAGCTAAACATACTGTAGTGTATTCCATATAACTCATACAAGTTGTTGTATGAACTACTTAATATTGTAGTGTATTCCTTATTCCTTACATATTCCTTATGTAGTGTAATATTTATTCCTGTAATGTATCCACTGATACAGTGGAGTACTGCTCAGCAGTAAAAAGAAACTCACCATTGATACATGTGACAACACGATGAGTCTCATAAACACCATACAGAGCAAAAGAAGCCAGACGCAAAAGAATATGTTCTGTGACTCCATTTCTATGAAGTTCTAGACTAGGCAAACTAATCTCTGGGGAAAGAAATAAAATAGTGATTGTGACGGGAAAGAGGAAAGAAGGGGCAGGAAATCACTGAGAAGGGTCATAGAAGTGATAGAAGTATTCTGTATCTTGGATGGGGTATTTATTACATGGTTATATGCATTGGTCAATACAGTGAACTCATGAACTGTGCGATTCAAAGTATGTAAATTCTACTTCATTTAAAAACAAACAAACACTGAGATACTATTTCTTACTTATCCAGTTGGCAAAATCCAAAGACTTCACGAGATACTCTGTTGGGGAAGTTGAGGGAAAACAGGAATGCAAAATACTGTAGCTCTTTGGAAGTTTATAAATATATTCATTTACCATTACTTCTAGGCATCATATCCCAAAGATATACTGGAAAGAATATAAAAAGATATTGATACAAGGCTACGCACTTTAGTACTATTTGTAATGGCAAAGACCGGAAGTAACCCAAATATTCATCAGTAGGGTACTGACTGAATAATTTATAGCACATTTACACGATGAGTTCTGTGCAACTGTAAAAAGAAATGGGGGAGTATCTGTATACTACTACGGAGCAATTACAAGAATGTATTTTTAAGTGAAAAAAGCAAGGTATAGAAAAAAGTATATTGTACTCTACCATTTATCTAAGAAGAGGGTAAAATATGAATATATGTACATATTTGCTTCATATTTTAAAAACCCAGGATTAACTACAAAAAAGTTAATGATTCCCTATAAGGGAAGGAGGAAATAGCACTTAGGGGACAGAAATGGAAGCTAGAGTTGCTGAGTGTACTAGTTTTGTAGATTTAACTTTGGAACGGTTTAAATCATTTCTAAAATTATAAACTTGAATTTTAAGTATCCATAAGCCTTGAAAGTAAGTGAAACAAGCCTGATTTTGGTTGCAAAACCATACATGAAGGGAACTATTTCATTCCAAGTGACATTAAAACAATACTTTGACCATGTATCTCTAGTGGGGTGTACCCTAAAAACAAAAAGGAATTACCAAAAAAAGCTTTAAACTGTTTTTAGTAATCTTATTATTAGTGGTGATTTTGCATAGATACTCAATCACTGCTTTAGATGATGCGGGATAAAAGCAAATAAAAAATACTGTGTTGGTGTTGTTGAGAGCTAGGATCATCAGTGTAAGTAGAAAGATAAATGTGGTTAAGGTTGGGCAGAAATGGTGTAGTTCTGAATTTGAATTGAAATGTTGTATGGACTTCTGTTGTGTCCTAGCTCCATCCTCTAAAAGGGCTTAAAAATAATGACCAACCTTGTGCCCATATTGAGGTTTCTAAGTACTTCAATTTAAAGGAACAAGGGCTCCGAAAAGAAACAGCTGATAGCAGTTCTAAAGCAGGACATGAACAAAATGAGCCTAGAACATCTTATTGTATCAGAAAGCAGGGAAGCTATTAAAGACTGGTAGGGTTTTTTCAAAAGAACAGAGAAGCCAACTTAATAAGCTCCCACTGGCTGAGATGGGACAATCTGAGTGTCAATAAGGATTGAAATCCATTAAATACGTTTCAATCTAAAAGTTCGAATTAGTAATAAAAATAATAAAACGAAACCTTCCCTGGTCATCCTTGATAGTTGCTTGGAAACCAAGTTGCTTTTTTTCAAATGGCAATTAAAGTGGAAAAAATCAAGCATTTCTCCTGCTTTTCTTATATGAATCGTGCTTTAGAGTAACTAAATAATTGATATGGGGAACTTTCTTTTTATTGTACTTCAACTAATAAAAGAAAAAGAAATGATCGCTTTGAATATTACCTTTTTTAGCCCCTAAAGTAGTGGATCTAGACGAAGATCATTCCTGGTGTCTAATATTACAAAAAGAGAGGTAGCCAGGCTTTATATGGCTCCTGATGGAGGTACACAGCAATGCCTATGAAGCAGCCAAAAAAAAAAATAATAATAATCTAATCAAGCGTCTAGATCTTATTAGCAGTGTGTGGAAATACAGGGCACAGAGGAACATGAAATGACATAATGGGAATGCAATCAGCAAAATCCACATAGAGGAGAACTGCAAGATAAACAACCCAGTTTACCTAACGACAACAACAAAAATGATAAGGACAATTTTTGAAAAGAGGAGGAACATGTAGATTAAAATAAATTTAGGGCGCCTGGGTGGCTCAGTTGGTTAAGTGACTGCCTTCATCTCAGGTCTTGATCCTGGGGTCCCAGGATGGAGTCCCGCATCACTGCTTCTCCCTTTGACCCTCCCCCCTCTCATATTCTCTCTCACTCTCTCTCTTTCTCTCTTTGACTCTCAAATAAATAAAATCTTTAAAAAGTAAATAAATGAACTTAAAAGGCATATCTATCAATCACCATGTACGCCCCTATACTGATACCGTGTTTTTCACAGCACCTGGCATAACAGGTACTTAACAAATAGCTCATTGATTATATACACAGATGGGCACACTCTACCTTTCCCCCACTGATTGCTAAAGTTGAAATAACATGTTGCTTTTTTCTGCCTAATTACAGGTTATAAACTCTAGCCTTGGTGATTAGGCACATATTTAAAAGCAAATAAAATATAATTTCTATTACTCGTTATTGTTTTATTATCTTTTTACTGAAGTGGTTGAAAGCTAGCTTTGATAGATTTCATTATCTTTATTCAAAGTCTCTATTTTATAGAGTTGTATGCTTTTAATTGCCAAAACTTAATCGGTTATTTATTTCAGATAGCAGAACTTGTAGCGACTGAATTTTTTGACCAAGGAGACAGAGAGAGAAAAGAACTCAACATAGAGCCTGCTGTAAGTATGAGACCTTGTTGGTAGGAATTATTCAAATACACTTGTTTAGTATAGACTTCTTACACTTTCTGTGGGATATTAGGAACACAGTTTATTTTCATTTTAGTTTTTAAAACATCTTTCTTATTAAAAGAATTACATATGTTTGTTACAAAAAACATAAGCAAATAAAAGAAGACAAAAAAGACTCTTGGGGCCATCATATTATACCTACTTTTTTGTAATTTGTTTTTTCTATTTCAATATCATAAGCTATTTTCATTCTAATGGATACTCTTATGTGTATTATTTATGATGATCACATGAAACAGACAGAGCCACAGTTTACCTACTTCCTTGGTGTCATGTCTGCAACGTTCACTAGGACCAGCAGCACTTTGATAAACGTCTTTGTTGCTAATGCCAGTTTTCATTCTCTTGTTAAGACAAATTCCCAGAATTGCTGTGTTGAAGGGCACAGATTTTTTTTTTTTTAAAGATTTTATTTATTTATTTGACAGAGAGAGATCACAAGCAGGCAGAGAGAGAGGAGGAAGCAGGCTCCCTGCTGAGCAGAGAGCCCGATGAGGGGCTCAATCCCAGGACTCTGAGATCATGACCTGAGCTGAAGGCAGCGGCTTAACCCACTGAGCCACCCAGGCGCCCCGAAGGGCACAGATTTTTAAAGGTCTTTCATACATACTGTCTTTTTTTACATAGAGTGTGGCTCTCACAGACAAGAGTAAGAGTCTTCACAAACCATTTCTGGCTTTTGGAGTACATTTTCCCTGAAAATGAAGCATAGAGTCTTTTTTTTTTTTTTTTTTTTTTTTTTTCAATTCAAATGGACATTTATTGAGTCCATATTAAATGGGACATGATCCTCACCCCCTCCCCGTGTACAGTTCCATCCACTCTGCTCACTCTTTAGCCTCAGCTGGGCACATCCTGTGTCTCACTAGTCTTTCACAGCTACTCCCTGTCTTCTGATGTAATGGTGGACTCATTCCAAGGCTCAGAACCTTCTTAGAAAGTGGTGGGTAGCAGAGTGATGATCACAGCTAATGGGGAATTTGCTTCATTTTAAACAAGCACTTGGTACAGACTCGTTGCTTCCCATGGCCAGTGCTGGGCTCGTCTGCTGCTCCAGTCATGACCTCCTGGGAATAAGCAGGATTACATCTGCATAATTATCCTTCAGAAAGCTCTCTGCATGAATTGAATCGTAATCAGCTGTAGCCTCAGTGGCTTCTTCCACAAAGCTGAGGGTGTTCCACTCCGTATCAATAGATGATTCAAAGCTGTGTGTTCTCCAAATACACAGCAGTGGTCGACTCTGGGTCAGTGATTGACTCTAGACGAGTGATCAATGCCATGGGTAGGGTGGGAAAAGCCAACCAGGATGAACAAGCCAGAGAGGATCAGGGTCTCCCTAAGCCCAGTGCCAGCAGAGTGCAGGAGACCGAGGGGGAAAGAGACATATAAGCTTGTGTCTGGCCTTTCTCAGCTAACAAAGCGATTGATGTTTTGGGGGCCAACTTGCATTGTGTTCTTTAAGTAACTAGATGTGTGTGTGTGTGTATGTGTGTGTGTGTATGTGTGTCTGTTTCTGTGTTTGTATTTTCAGGATCTAATGAACAGGGAGAAGAAAAACAAAATTCCAAGTATGCAAGTTGGGTTCATAGATGCCATCTGCTTGCAACTCTATGAGGTATGTATATGAAAACAGACTTGCTAAATTTAGACTGTGTTATGAATTAAAACCTCATGTAAATTGAAGCAATTAACACTAGGCTGTTTTTTTCCCCCCTGATGAACATGCTGTTTGCATTGAAGAAAGAACACATTTTACATTTGATTTTTCTCAAAAACTTTAATTCATCAGTGCATGACTATCTGCTGAGTGCCTACTCTGTGCTAGACTCTAGCAAACTGATGTGAGAATACTAAAAAGAATTATATGTCAGTGTTACCCTTAGGAGGGATACTGTGCATACTCTATGTCAGCATATTCTCTTTTTTAAGTTTAGGCCTAAATAAAGAAAAAAATTATCCAACTTTTTCTCATTGTATAGTGTAGCTTTAATATTATTAAAATTTCTATGAGGATGTAAAGGAGATAACTGGACAAATATTATAAGTTCCCATTTCCTTACACCTTCTAGCTTGGGATTTTTATTTTTTGAGGTAAAGATATTCTCCCTAAAACATCCTGGTTTGCTAGTTTAGATGCTTATTCCCAAAGTACAGAAAGTAGACACTATCCTTGTTTTTAAAGTTTATATAGGAAACCATCTTAAGTTTTAATTATTTGGGAAAAGCACATTTATCATAGAGTTATCATAGAATGTCAAGACCCAAAGAAACCCTAGAATCGTCTAATCGAGACATTTCACAATTCAGTAACTTTTTTCCCCTACATTTCATATATGTACATGGATTTACTTCATTTGAATCTGTTGTTAAATTCTATGTAATATTGATATGTATTTTTACTATTATTTATTAGAGTCGTTATAGAAAACTAAGAGAATTTCACTACTCAGACAACTACTGTTAATACATTAGCATATATACTTTATGAATTTTTTTTCACTTAGCAAATTTGGTTTTTGTAATTCATAATACATCATAATGTATATTTTTTCATGTCATGTGTGTTTCTGTGATATTTTTAAAGGCTGCAAAATAGTAACATAGTATACCTAACCCTGTTGTTGGGTATTTAAAGTTATTTTCAGAGTTTCTCTATTACAAAGAAACCTGCAGTGAACATTTTGTATCTAAATATGTGTGCCACTAATAATTGGTAAATAATACCATTAATAAGTTAATCTTTATTATGATCTTTGACACAAGTCTATTTAAGTACATTGTATAAAACTGTTTTATAGGAGAACACAAATAAGCAGTTCCTGATAGGATCACACTTCAGGAGAGCCATCTGTACTACCAAAAAGCAAAATGTATTGTTTCCCTGAGAAGTGGATTCCCTACAGATCTGTCTCTATTGTAACTCAATACGGTTACTTTGGAATGTATGTGTCTGCTCTATCTCTCATCACATACTCGTTGTCTGCACAGATTAAGAGAACTCAGTCATAAATGACCTGCATATTTGTTCACACAGCTTGTGAAAACCCGTATGGTGAGCCTGCTGGTGAAATGAGTGTGAGATTGTGGCTCTTGGGAATAGGCCCGAGAAGGGGGCTTATTTCCTGGATGCCTTCTAGTTGTTTGCTTTCTTTTTCTTTCTTTAGGCCCTGACCCATGTATCAGAGGACTGTTTCCCTTTGCTGGATGGCTGCAGAAAAAACAGGCAAAAATGGCAGTCTCTCGCAGAACAGCAGGAGAAAATGCTGATTAATGGGGAGAGCAGCCAGGCCAAGCGGAACTGAGCGGTCTGTGCACGCCGAGTTCAAGTTTACAGACCGTGTATTCTGCAGTATGTCTCGTTTTGCTATACACTGTACGAGTTTAGTGTATACTTTGCCACTGCTGTATTTTTATTTTTGCACAACTTTTAAGGGCACAGCATGAAATGTTTTTAGGGGACTATTACATATTTTCTGTATATTTGTTTTATGCCACTGATCTGAGATTATCAACGACACCCACTCACTCACTCTTAGCACATGGATAAGAGCTCTGTTTGTGATATTTTGTGTACTACAAAGTGCAAGTTAAATTCTTGTGCTGAGATTTTTTTGTTTTATTTTGGGGGAATTTTAGGGGTTTTGTTTTTTGCTTGGGGGTTTTAAATCATTGTTTTTGTGTTTTCTGAATTACCAATCTTTTAAAGAATGTTTGGAATCTTTTCATTCTCAAAAATAGTCTAGGAGCAAATTGAATGTATTATGTGACATTTAAAACCTATCTTTTTTTTTTTTTTCTCTATCATAGGATAGAGAAAAGTGCTGGCCTAGTGGATTTAAGGGGAAAGGATAGTATTTGTCAACAAAAAAGTAAAACTCTGAAACAAATAGCAAGTACTATAAAGCAGTATGGTAAAGAAAAGGTATTGTTAATTGATTTGCTGTTTTTGTTAGTGAGCAGGAAGGGGAGAACTCTTTCGTTTTAGTACATATGTCTATCCAAACACTACCCATAAAATCACTGCAGTCTACCCTCTCTGATGGAAAGCAGGGAAAACCTTAGGAAGAGACACTGATTTAATGGACTTCATGGTCTTTGACTTTACTAAGGGATAGGTGTGATCCAGAAATGGAATGGCCATATCTATCGGTCAGTGAAGAGAAACATTCTGTTGGAAGAGTCCTCTGAGAGTCAGTGTTTTGAATATTGAACTTCCTCTTTTAAATAACTTCCTTATCGTTTCTCTTACAAACCGTAGTTTATAAGTGAACAGTTTAAGTCTCGACAGAAAACTGAGAATAAAAGTGATCATGGGAGCACTGACTTGAGGTAAGATACGACTGCAGATAAAAGGTAAAATGAATCATTATTTTTCTTTGTCAAAGGAAGCATAGAGAATAGTTTTAATTGTATAAACAGAAAGGGGCTATCCTTGATGTTCAGGTCAAAAATTAAATTGAAGAAGCGGGAGAGGAGGAAAGCTTAGGCCTGAATAAAACTTAAGCGTATTGAGTCTGCAGCTGAGAAACTGCCATATTTCAATTTATAGGACTAGTCAACTCAGAATCACAGAAGTTTGGGTGTGTGCACTAAATGCTGACCCTGAGCTTAAGGTTGTTGATACTTTTCATAGCTTTTTAGCACATTTAGAAAACGTTAACATTGTCTTAGATTTGAGCCCATTTGAGTGGATTCCCATTGATCATGTGTACCCTAAATACACATTTATTCATCATTAGAGAAGCAGATACTGAATCGAGCAACTGGTTCGGGAAAGGAAAATCTGTTCCAAGCATGCGGAAATGTTTGGACTTAAGGAAAGTAGGAAGAGAAGTATTTGTCTGATTTGTTAACCACCAAAAAAAGTTTCTGAGTTTCATTCACTAATTGGGTAGAAAATCTCTTGGGGACATGGTGCAGCATCCTCAAAGGACTTTCACTAAACATTGTTTCCTATTCATATTGTTTTTTCTCTCAACTGCCTAAAACTCAATATCCTCATTGCGTTTTTAAAATTCTGAGTTGAATCTTACATAATGTGATTTTATTCTTAACATTCATGTAAAAAAAAATTGTCTTGCCATTACTTTAGAGTGGTAAATGCTGGTCTAGGAAGTTACCAACTGTTGCTATATGTGTAATTGTTGTAAAACTTGTATTTTGAGGATGCTATTCAGTTTTTATTTGACTCATATAGGTGAGATCTGTAAAGTTGCCTCTTGGTGGCGCTGGTGTGTAAGTTACACAGGCTGTCACTAAAATAATGTATCTATATACTGGTATACACCCATGCATGCAGACATAATTCTTTAGTATAGAAAAATCATTTAAAGAAGAGCAGTCTTTAGTAACGTTTTTATCATACACCTTGTGATTTAGCAGTTATGCTAAAATCTGTAATCATGTACTTTAGTAGTTTTTTAGACCCATCTAATATGTCACTGAGATGTATGTATGGAGGTTTTGAATGTGTGCCATTTTAACAAACAAGAAGTTCTATGTAGATTAGAAATTATTTGGTATCCTTTAGATAATGGTTTATTTTACTTTACTAGTTTAGCAATTAAAAGAAGTTGGGTAGCGCCATATTGTTGGAAGTTTTAGTTCTTACAAGAATACTTCTTTAGGACCAGTTAGATGGTTCAAATAATTTTTACTTTTTAGGAAAATCATTCCATACGTAGGTTATCTGGTACATGGGCACAAATCGAAGCTTTTGTTCTTATGTGAATTTTTTTTTCCAGTATCTTCCCAAGTTGGAAAAAATATATTTATAGTCCTTCCTCCCCTGCAATGTATCTGTATTACTAGTAAGAAGCTGGTTTTTTCCTGAAGTTGTTATAGTTATAGCTGAATAATGACATATCATTTCAATTTTCAGCCCCAAAAGTGCCCACTATTTTACTAAGTCGTTAAAAGATGTCTATAAAATTGCCAGGCCTTATATTTTTCGCAGTATTGGCCCTTGCCAGTCACAGTCCTTTGTGAACCTGTGTGAGTCACTTAACCTCTGTGTGCCTGAACAAGTGTTATTAGAGGAGTTATGTTTGGGCAAAACCTCTGTCTTCATGAAGGATGTCACAGAAGACAGCCACCACAGCAGCCCTAATGGGCCCTGGAGACCACTGTCAGAAGTGGGATATTGGGCTGCAGAGCACGGTATCTAATCCCACATGTCACTTCCTCTGTTTCAAAGACTGAAAAAAAGATAATACATTTATTTGGTTTCTCATGCAGATCACAAGTGAATGTGAGATTTTGAGTACCTTGCCTCAAGGTACACACTCTGGGAGTGATGTTGTCACCACTTATTTGTTAATCGTGAAGAATAGTTTCTATTAGATAAGAGTACTGAGATTAGAAAGTGTATGAAAATACACTGGAAATCTTGAGATCTGGGAGGAAACTGGTCACAGATCTGTTCTTGCCTAGCGGTAAAGTGCCTTTATTTTCAGCACAGAGCACAAATGTTAGACATACTCCGATCTGATTTTCAAGTTTTCTGTGTTTTTCACCAGATTTTACTCCTAATGCTTGATAGGTCATCATAAGCAGTGCTGTTGTTTTGGTTTTTATTTTGATTTGATTACAAGAGTGATTTTAAGATGAGAAGAGGAAAAGGTGAAATTGCCGTCGTCTCCTGTGAATGAGTGTAGTTGAAATCAGGTGGTATAACTGAATTGCTCAGTATCAGACATGGAATGGTCCACCCTTTATTGAGTCCCTGTGACACAACAGGCACTGTGCTCCGCCGTGGAAATAGAGCAGTGACCTCAAGTTGCCCACAGTCTGCAAAAAGGGCGAGATGAGAGACTTATCAGCTTCTGATCCTGCCAACTGAACCTGAAAATATAGGGTACATTATATCACTTGCATTGTCATCTATAACATATGTATTATAGACCGTTTTCCAAGGACCTTCTTTACCTGGAACTTACTAAGACTCCATCAGTGAATATCCTGTCTTCTAACAAATATGCATCATTTACCCTGTTGGTAGCTTAAAGAACACATTATGTAAGGAGTCATATATTCTACTATATTGAGTTTTGTTTTTGTTTTTGTTTTTTTTTTCCCCATATGCTAGCCAGGTAGAGATTACTCAGAGTTCTTTTAGATTGTTAAATTGTGCACAGTTTTGGACCCCTTCTGCTCCCCTACAGGGAGCAAGGAAGAAAGTAATAAAGCTCACTTCACCTTTCCATATGTTTCTCAAAAGCCTGTGTAAACGTGTCTTAATAAATGTCGTTGAAAGCAGTGTAAATAGTTGAAAATATAAATTTCTATTACAGTTTAAGAAAAGAAAACCTTATGAATCATCACTAGCCACTGTTAATATCTATTTGTATTCTTATACCTTTTTCAATATATTTGAACAAATATATAGTTTCTGGCACTATTTTTGTACTAGGATAAAGGAGTTATTATGTATATTATGTTTAGCTTTTAAGTCCTTTTAAATAACTGCGACTGTTGATTTCATGTGTTTCCTCTCCCCCACCATAAGAACCATTTCCAATGACTCTTCTATGACAAAATCACTTTAAAGGAACACCTCCCCACCTCTGATGCCCATAAAATCAAGAGATGGTCAGGGTGGTCTTCTGTTGCGCAAACTCTTCACCTGTCGGTTGTTAACTCATTTTGCTATGCTTTGTAAAAATAAAAAGAAGAATGAACAAGTAGGTATGAGTATTGTGTGATTTTTAGGGGAATTTTAGGCAGGGAGAACGGACCCAATGGTTTGAGAGACCTCAGTCAAGCTAACCTGTGGTCCTATTAGCTGAAAAAAATGTGATTTAATCAAATCCTTTCCTTAACCAAGACCCCTCTCAGTAATAGTCTTCTTTGTATTAACATCCTTTGCTACCAATCTGAGGGCAACATTTTCTATACCTTCTTCACATCAAGCTCCTAACAGCTCCATGAAGAGTGATTATTCCCAGTCTCCTGTTGCAGGAGGAGCTAAGGTGGAGGAGTTCCATACTTCAAAGGGCACGAGCTGGATTTGAGTCCAGACACGTCTAGTTTCAAAGCAGGTATTTATTCCATTTAGTTCTCTTTTTGAATTTTAATTGTAAAAGGTCTCAGATCCATTCTTGGTGGATCAAATGGACTATCTAGAAGCATTAGAGGTAAAATTTCCTTGACCTAGCAGATTTGGTTTTGTTTGGGTTTTTACTGTTAACATTCCTGGAGTTCATCTGATCATAGCAAATGATAGGCCTTCACAGAACCCCAGATACTACCATGCTTCTGCTGCTAATGTAGAGATGTGGAGGTATAATTAAATTTCGCGTTTTTGATTCATAATTCAGTTTTGCCACTAGACAAGCCCTCTTCATGTGGAACAGAATATCTAGGCTATGCCTAATTCACAAAACCGAAGACAAAAATGAAATGAAAGCTCATGTAAAATAATAGTTTAGATCTCCTGACCACTTGGGGGCGCCAGAGTCCCTGATTTTTCAAAGAAGTAATACCTTCCCGGGAACAATGAATAAAACTGCATTTTAAAAAAATTTTACTAGCTAAAGAAAAGCAAAATGGGAATAATCAGTAGAGAATTAATTCTTGCTTCCTCTTTGATCAGTGATCATTTCATCAAGATGTTCTCCAAACAATAACTGGTCACTTGAAGTCTCCGATATTCCAACCATGGAGACATCACCCCTTTCTGTAGAAAAAGGAAGTATTTGACAACTCTCTTGAATTCACATTCTTGCTATTAGCTGTGCTTCCTTCTCAGCAAACAGGAATTGCTATGTTTGATATATGCAAATGTCAGGGTATGATTTTCTATTCTTAAGGCACATGACATTAAATTAACAGAAACTCTTTGAACTTAAAGAGAATATTCTCTGATTGTAAGCTACATTCAGCCTTGGCAAACAAACAAGAGCTATCTTTCCAGTTCACAAACCACATTTTCAAAATAAACATTCACAAAGGTTATGCATGGAATCAAAATAATTATTTGAAACTAAAAGAAATCTGATTAATTAAATGGCATGCATGATTTTTTCTCTCTGACTTGCCTCATTTTAACTGTGTGCGTGTGTGTGTGTGTGCGCGCGCACGCAAAATATACAGGAACTAAGTTGATTCTCAATCATCTGACAGCAATCCCAATGGCACCTTTTAGGATTCCTCTTTCTAAATTGCCATGTAAAGGACAAGCTTCCATGGCCAATGGCAGGGGAGAAGCAATAAACAAGGACTGTTACAATAACTTTCAACCTTCATATCCCCAATATTAATTACTTTTAAAACATATTTCACTTCTCATCACTGTTTCCCCTTACCCAGCAGGAGTGTTTTTAGGTTTTATGTAACACCGATCTAACATAAGCCTGTAAGAAACAATATTCACCCTTTACCAACCAGCTCTCTGAAATTCAGAACTTCTCTGGTCTCGCTGATCTGCCTAGCCCAAGAAGGAAAGGCATAAAACATGGTCAGCGACTGCCTCAGCTACAAATGCTCTCTCACTCATACTCTCCGTCACCCGTGCACACAAGCCAATAGGAGTGGTTTCTAAGGGTGTTCTACTCAGTTGTTAGAATAAGTTATAAATTTTCCTGGGCAATGAAAGGGAGACTGTGTCCTATCATTATTCCCTTTTTCTTGAAACCTCTGCTTCTCTTTTCTATTCTAGCTCCATACCCCAGGCCTTCAAACATATTTGATTCTCCTGTGGCCCTAAGAAAACCTGCTATAATCACACAGCCCTCCTAAGTTACCAGCATCTCTGCATCTTTCTTGTACTTTAAAGGTACTCAACAAATATTGAGCGAAAGAATGGATTTCCATACTTTGTCACCTGATATAAAATTGAATTTTTTTATAAAGAAAGGGGAAAGTAATTCCAGTGAAGGGAAACAAAAATCAATACAGAGTTTTTAGAAATTCTTAGTTGGACAAGAAGTGAAATTTGGGGCCCCTGGGGGGCTCAGTGGGTTAAAGCCTCTGCCTTCCACTCAGGTCGTGATCCCAGGGTCCTGGGCTCGAGCCCCACATCAGGCTCTCTGCTCAGCGAGGAGCCTGCTTCCCTTCCTCTCTCTCTGCCTGCCTCTGTCTACTTGTGATCTCTGTCTGTCAAATAAAATAAAATCTTTTTTAAAAAGTGAAATTTAAGATGAAAAAACAAGCTGAATAAAGCAAGTTTTAGGAAAAAAAATTTGTTTTCTATTGTGAAAAATAAGTTAGCTATCAGACTTTCATTAATAAATTGCTAACCATTAGTGTCATTACTCTGAATGGCAGTTTTACCATATTGCTACAAACCAAGGAAAATTCATAAAGTCTAGAGGCCAGTAATCTTACAGAAAAGATAAGATTTACACTTAAAAATAAATAAGCAACAGTTTGCTTCCCCACCAACAGTGTGAGAAGGTGCCTCTTTCTCTCTATCCCTGCCACTCTAGAAAACAGTATGGAGGGTCCTCAAAAAGTTAAAAATAGAGCTACCCTACAGTCTAGCAATTGCACTTCTAGGTATTTATCCAAAGGATTCTATTGGTATCTATTGATAAAACTATTTATCCAAAGGATAAATACCTAGAATCACAAAAATAGTGATTTGAAAGGGCACACACCCCCAATGTATAAAGTAGCAATGCCCACAATAGCTAAAATATGGAAAGAGCCCAGAAGTTCATCAACAGATGAATGGATAAAGATGTGGTATATAAATACAATGGAATATTATTCAGCCTTCAAAAAGAATGAAATCTTGCCATTTGCAAGGACATGGATGGAGCTAGAGTGTATTATGCTAAATGAAATAGAGAAAGACAAATACCAAATGATTTCACTCATGTGAAATTTAAGAAATTTTAAGAAATTTAAAAAACAAAAGGGGAAAGGGAAAATACAGTAAGATAAAAACAGAGAAGACAGCAAACCATAACAAACTCTTAGCTATAGGGAACCAACAGGGTTGCTGAAGGGGAACTGGGCGGGGAAATGAGGTAACTGGGTGATGGGCATTAAGGAGGGCACTGGATGTAATGAGCGCTGGGTGTTGTAAGCAAGTGATGAGTCACTAAACTCTACTCCCAAAACTAATACATGTTTACTAAATTAAATTTAAGTAATTTTTTTAAATAAAAATAATAAATAAATAAATAAGCATACAAAAGTAAGCAGAAGATGCTCACTCATTCGCAAATAGTTGGTTCTCTACTCCGTATCCAGCTGGGGTAAACTAAACAAGCATGGCCTCACAGAGCTTCTAGCCCAATGGAGGCCAAATACAACGGATAGTTACATTTGTGCACTGAGGGTGGGGAGTGGAGGGTACTTAATTCCAAACTGAGGCTTCACAATTGACTTCTTTAAGGGTGAGATATCTGGTTTAGCCACGTGAAAAGGAAGAAGAACATTCTAGGCAGAAGAAAGAGTATGTGAAAATCTAAAAGCAGACTAGAGAAGTTGAAGGTCTTCCCACTATTTATTTAAATAATTATGTTTTATAATTATGAATGATGATTTAAACTATTTATGAAGTATTAGTATAATAGTTAAATATAAATATTATAACATAATACATAAATATAAGCGTATAAAATTTTAAAATGTTTTTTAATAAGTGTATATTTGAACTCTTAAGAAAGAGAACTCTCCAGAGACCAAAATAAAGCTACTTAAGAAATAAATCAGTCAGCATATGAACTGATATTATGTCAGATCTAGGAATATTTGCAGACCAAATCATGAAGGGGGCTTAATACCCACCGAAGAAGGAAACAGTGTTTGGGTACTGGCTCTCCAAGTAAGGCTGAAACTTGTGAAGAGTTACGCCCTCACTAAACATTAAGAAGGTGGAAGGGGGCTTGTGGGATACAGAAGAAATCTACTTGGAGACACAGAAAAACAAAGGAAGCATGCCTGTCTTAATCTGGGCTAATAATAACATTGGGTTCATCCTCATTAACACAGATTTGACGTTTGAATATGATCCAGGACTACCCAAATTAGATTACAATCACAAAAGAAGTCGCAAGCCAGTAATATCCCTTAGATACCAGGCAAAAACAAAGGTAAATTGTTTTTGGAAGAACATAACCCCAAATAGACCCATAAAATGTCTATAGAAGTTATGCCACTAAAGACAAATTCCTAATTCAAAACTGCAAAACACAAGAGGAAGCAATTCATAGTGCATGAAGTCAGAAGCCATAAGACTAGGATCAGATCCCCAAGAAATCGAGACAACAGAACTCTGATAGAGGCTATTGGGAGAAATCATTAATACCTCATTCTTGTATTTCCAAATGAAGGAACACCCCTAAAACAACACTCAGCCTTTTGTTCCACCTCTCACTCAACTCAGTCAGACACCCAATTGGAGAGTGATGGCCACACCACTCCACAGTCCTTAAGTGGTTTAAATGGATCCAATAAAAAGCAGTGAATGCTGGAGATTTTTTTCTTTTCTTTACCTTTCTAATCCTGATCCATTTTAAGTCCAAAATCCTAGGTAAGTGTCTGGATATGTGGCCTGTCTCAAGATCTAAGCTTCTGAAGGGGCTGAGGCAGGGATTGTTAGCAAACCCATTTAACCAGAACATGTTCTCCAACCTTTGCACTTGCTTCAAACACTTCACTTACCTAACCATCTCCACAATGCTCCACACAAGCCAGCAGCACGAGGGTTTTTCGGAGTGCTGTGCCTATCTCCTAGAAGGTACTTCTAGACTGTCGTTCTGCAAAATGGGCCTTTTCTATCAATGGCCTCTCCTGCTTCTGATCAGTGCAGTAAATCTGCTTTCCCGAGTCTGTCATAGGCTGTGCTGTTGGAAGGACGTAATGTACGAGTCAGAACGTTCTTCTTACTCACCTGCCAGTGGCTGTAGAGAAGGCAGAAGTGAAGTCAACACTGAATGAGATCCCATTTTAGGGAGTAATGCAGTAAATGTGGCCTAAAAATTCAGGAAAAACGTAGTTGTAAGATATGTTGTCCTATTTTGTATTATCAATTTCTGAAAAAGCAGATTTAACAAGACCAAAAATTATCATTCCTATTTTTCTTCTGCCTATTCTAAGACTTGCATTGATGCTGATCACCCCCGGATGACGGTCGGCTCACTGATAGCCGGGATGCGTAAGCAGTACATGGGATGTGCTGGTGCTAGAGAAATAATATAACCAACACAGATAAATGGTATCAGGGAACTGCAAAACCAACAAGATACTATTTTCGTACAAACAGTTTCTAAAGAGCCACAACACTGTGAGTATAAGAGAGTTGCTCTCTTTTTCTCTCAGCAGAGATTATGAAATTTGGGAGGAGAGGAGGATCACATATGACAATGAAAAACACAAGCAGACGATTCCTGAACTTGAACACGAAGAGACAGTACCTGGACACTACCGGTGGGCATTGATTTTCACATGTACTACACCTGGACAATGAAATATGTCAACATCCCTTCTGTACTCAATTTTCTAAAACTTTCCTTGCAAAGACATTGTATTAGTTTCCTGTCACTGGTAGGAAAAATCCTACCCACAAATGTATGGATTTAAAACAGGAGATCCACAGTCTAAAATGGGTCAGCACAGCTGCCTTCCTGCTAAAGGCCACTTCCTTGCCCTCTTGAGCTTTTGGCTGCATGCTCTGCTTACTTCGTGGCCTCTTCCTCCATCTTGGAAAAAAATTTAAATTCTGTCTATATTCCTTTTAAGTAAGCAAAAATTTATATGATAAAATATGATACTTATGTGATAAAATATGATTAAAAATTTATATGATAAAATACATAAGGTTTTCGGAAGCTATAAACAAAATGTATTAAGTGCCCAGCCCAGAAAGTACACTAGGAGACCAGAAGACCACGATTATCATTACTATTAGCACGATGATGGTGATGATGAAAGATTTCTATCCCAGAAGTTAAAATAAAAGCTTTTATTCTCAAGAAGAGAAAACCTGACTATTGAAGCCACATCCAGGATCTGTTAAACTTAGACTGTGCTTTGCCATTTACCAAGCTCTTTGTCACACGTGACCTTATCCCATCTTGCCTGCAGTTCTGTGATACAGGCATTATTCTCATTCCTGACTTTGTGATGATGAAACTGAGTCTCAATGACTCAGCTGCTTCATTATTAGTAGTCTGTCCCCATCACATATGCCATACTTTGCATTACAAAATAGTTCTGCTCTCTAACAGTTCCAAATGGTCAGGCTTTTGTTATATAAATCGGCAATTTTCAAAGTGTGGTTCCCGGACCTCAGCACCAGCAGCATCTGTTAAAAATGCAGATGCTCAGGCCCTGGGCCTGATCTGCCAAGGGTCAGGCTGAGCAAGATGAGTTTCTTATAAGCCCTCCAGGTTATTCTAATGGACGCTGAAATTTGGGAATTACTGATCTAAAACATTGCTCTTTTCTTCTAACTGCTTACGATCTTAAGACTAAAGGCCTAGCCACACAGAGCCACTGAAGTAATGATTCAGTGATGAACACGTTTATTAGAAGGACTCCTAGAAGTTGGAAGAGCAACTCGTTGAAAATTCTATCCTCTCTCTAATTACCTGGATTTTTCATCTCAACAAAAGTACAACATATTCCATCTACATAGGAAAGAGAGAAGTAAAAGATTGAATTTCAACAGTAAGAGAAGTAGGCTAATGATGGTTTCCAGTGATTTATTCATGGACACATGGCTGCTTTCATAGTTTGACTAATATAAATAATGGTGCAGTAAACATTGGGGTGCATATACACCTTCAATTTTTTTTATTCTTTGGGTAATTACCCAGTAGTGCAAATTCCTGGATTGTAGGATAGTTCTATTGTTAACTTTTTGAGGAACCCCCATACTGTCTCCCACAGCAGCTATACTGTTTGCATTCACACCAACAGCGAATGAGTTCCTTTTCCTCCACATTTCACCAACACTTGTTGCTTTGAGTTTTTGATTTTAGCCATTCTGACAGGTGTGAGGTGATGTCTCATAAGGTTCTGATTTTCATTTCCTTGAAAATGAGTGCTGTTGAGCATTTTTTCATGTGTCTGCTGGCCATCTGGATATCTCCTTTGGAGAAATGTCTTCATGTCTTCTGCTCATTTTTTAATTGAATTATTTGTTTTTTGGGTGTTGAGTTGCATAAGCTCTGTACCCTTTATTAGATATGTCATTTGCAAATACTTTCTCCTACGCAGTAGATTTTCTTCTAGTTTTGTTGGTTTTTACCTTTGTTTGCAGATGCTTTTGATTTTGATGTAGTATATGTATACAATGGAATATTATTCAGCCATTAAAAAGAATGAAATCTTGCCATTTATAATAACATGGGTGGATCTAGAGAGTATAACGCTAAGCTAAATAAGCCAGTCAGAGAAAGACAAATACCATATGATTTCATTCACACCTACAATTTAAGAAATAAAATAAATGAGCAAAGATAAAAAAAAAAAAGAGAGAGAGAGGAGACAAATCAAAAAACAGATTCTCAACTATAGAGAACAAATGGGTGGTTACTAGAAAGGAGGTCGGTGGGGGGATTGGTGAAATAAGTGATGGGAATCGAAACACATTTATCTTAATGACCACTGAGTAATATATGGAAGCGTGGAATCACTATATTGCACACCTGGAACTAATATAACTCTGTATGTTAACTACACTGGAATGAAAATTTAAAAAATAAGTTGTGGGGTAAATCAATAAATAAATGATGGCTTCCAGAATTTCCTATTCTTCTATATTATCTACAGTTGCTTAAGAAAGACCTTGAAAGATTAGATCCACTACCAGTCCTCTTCCTCCTCCTCACAGATCATGTGCTTGGAGAACACTTAACTGCAGCAGGCCAGATCGATGAAATTAAGTCCTCTCATGGTTGGAACAAAAACCAATTGGGTGTGGCATGCCCTAGGCCGAGAGGGGCAAAGGGAGAGCTGACATTCTGTATGTGATAAATATTGCTTACTGGTAATTCACCAAATTGTTTCTAGATCTGGGAGTAAGGGCAAAGGTTCTTGTTCTGATTTATCGTCTATGTCCTGATGGGTTGACTCAACACCCAGGAGCAATTTGGGAAGGCAAAGATTCCTACAGGTTGCCACACCAGAGGTCTGACAACCACTGTTCACTATCAGAACCAAGGGATCAGGGATGCCGGATGGCTCAGACGGTTAAGCCGCTGCCTTCGGCTCAAGTCATGATCCCAGAGTCCTGGAATCGAGTCCTGCATCAGGCTCCTTGCTTGGCAGGGAGCCTGCTTCTCTCTCCGCCTCTGCCTGCCACTCTGCCTGCTTGTGTGCTCTCTCTCTCTCTCTGGCAAATAAATAAATAAATAGATAGATAAATAAAATCTTTTAAAAAAAAGAACCAAGGGATCAGTCCAGCTTCGAGAGAGGCCCTGGGGAAGACAGGCAAAAAAGCGTCCCTGAGGAAAAGCAGCCTGTTTCAAGTCTATCACAGACAGCAAACATTTCAAGGAGATTTAGAAGAAGAGGTACCTTCCTTGTTGCTGTAGCGTGGAGCTTCTTCAAACCCTAGGGTACATTCCAGATGGGAAAAGGGCTATTCCAACTCTCCAGGGGAAGAGCTCTACCCTGGCCAGGGAAGAGATCCTGATGACTGCCCTGCCACAGGTATAGTAAACATCCTTCTGCCCTGAGCCCTGCACCTTAGTCGGCCCGCAAGAGCCATAATGCCTGGGTCCTGGGCACCACTGGAAGGTGATTTCATGCCTATGGAGGACTCTTCTATAGAATTACCAGAGAATCATCCTCTGCATTATAGCAAGGCCTCCTAGCAGAGTGGAGAGAAGGAGGTGAACATTTATTAAACAGTAACTATGTGCCAGGCCTTTTCCATACACTAACTCATTTTATCCTTACAAGTCTCATCATGTAGATAATTTTGTCCCAATTTTTCAGACAAGAAAACAAAGCAGAGGAAATTAGGTTACTTATCCAAAGCCATACAGCTTGCAGTTGGCAGAGCCAGAAGATGAACTCTGGTCTGACTACAAAGTCCCTTCGGCAAAGTCCCTGTCAGTGCTGTCACAGCAGAATGGGCTCACCACCTGTTTCTGAGCAAAGGTCACTTCAGGCCCTTCTATGTGAGCTGTTGACCCCAGATCAATGGAGATCACAGTGTGGACATCACCCGCACCATCTTTGTTGGCCCGCAAACATACATCCTCATTCTGCTGTCCTGCTGGAGAAGCAGCATGCCCTTCCCCGACCACTGAGCAAGGGGATGGAGATCCGATGACAGCCCAGCTGGGAGTTTTTCTTGTGGATGATCCTTACTTAGTCTATCTATTCCTCTTTCTCCTTCTAGACCTCCTTCCTCCATGTTACCCCCTATGCATACCAATTAAACAGAAAGCCATCACCAATTTTTGGTTATCTCTTATGTGAGGGGAAAAAAAAAAAAAGAAAGGCTGAGGTGAATGTTTTATTGCAAAGGAGGACAAACAGCATTTGCTGGAATCTGCTTATTCCAGCATAATTCTCTAAGTGCTCTTTTATTTGCCCTAAACAAGCTTGATAGACAGCACAGTCATAACTATCAGTGACATTTCAGCCAGTTAATCATTCATTAGGCTACCTATGTCAGAAGAACTGTTTTCTTTGAAGTTTGTATTACCATTTTCAAGTTGCCCAAACTGACCTCTTTCAGAAACAGACTCCTTTCTTCTTGGAAGATATAATTTATTTTTTTGGAATATAAAGTTTATTATTCCCCACTAGGGATTTTTAACTATTATAGGACAGTGAGATATTAACGAATGTTTCCCTTTGCGTTTCCCGGCTACAATTACATCCTTCTTTTTACAAGCTATTTGCCAGGACAATTCCACATCAGAATCCATTCCATTCCAGAGCAGGGTTCCTGAGCAGAACTAACCCAGGCTGCTACTTGCCAGGCAGAGCAAACAATTTGGAATGGAATAGG